AAAAAAAAAAAAAAAAACTGAACAAATTGTAACGCTGCCAACAAGTGAGCTGAATAAAATTTTATTTACATGTTTCACAAATTTTTAAAGGCAATTCATTGGATTTGTATGTGGTTGTTCAGTAAAATTTCGAACCTCCAAAATACCGGACACTGTTGGTGGCATCGGATGAGGATGTGGCGTATCCTGAAATATAAACCTTGACCATCAAACCATGTTAAACTTTTTGTGGCGACAAATTCTATCAAATATAAATCGACAGCAAAAAATAATAAGTGCTGATTTACATACTAGTTTTATGCACATTTACCTCTTTCCATATTTCTTTCATGACAGGTAGTGGTAAGTCATTCAAAAGTTCTAGCTTCTGGGTAATTAAGTCTTTCCTTCCTGTAATCAATTATTGACAGTTTTTTAATTCAGAATCCATTATTGCAATTATAAAACATAACATCTTAATACGTAAGAAATAAAAGAAGAACAGATATACTTGGCCTAGTCACGATAGACATAGGGTAGTCGAACGTTTCTTGACTAGCACTTTTCATTTCTCGTTCATTATCATCAGTTTCTGATGCTGCCATTGCTGCTACGTTTGATATTACGTCTAAGAAACAAAATAGGCAAAGCAATATCGAAGCAAAATAATGTATAACAAAAAAAGATTGTTTAATCTTTCCGCCGTATATAAGTTTTAATTACCTGTTCCTGTAGCATCTTTTACTCTTTTTTGGGTTGTTCCTAATGACGTACAATCGACAGATATGTTTTGAGAGCTACAATAGTAACGTAGTAGAAAAATGTATGACTGTACAAAGAAATTGTACATGATATATATTTGTTTATCAAAACAAGTAATAGCTTAATTGACGAATTTTTATGCAAAGATGTTAAGTAAGCAAAGAAGAAGAAGGAAAAAGTACTTTTTTTCTTTATCACTTTCAGTGAATGCTCGTGATTGAATATTAGAAAACTTTGAACCATCATCATTTTCGGAAGTTTGAATGAATTTGTCTTTTCGAAAAATAGCACTTGTAGAAGTTTTTTCATTCATGATTGCATACGGTCGGCCACAACTATTGTAGTATATAAATAAACACAACCATCCGATAGCAATGATACTAATTGCAACGCCAATCACAACAGCTACAATTTTAAATTGATATCCAAATTTATTTTTTTCATAGAAAAAAAAGATGAATAAAAAAATGAATAAGCAATAAAAGAACAAATAAATGCTTGGAATACCACTCATTAAATGCAAATTACACTTCATGTACTCAATTTTGCATGAATATGAATGGCTGATTTGATAACAACTAGCATTCATCATTCAATCAGTGCTAATTTTGAGAATTTTCCAATAAGAAACACAACTACAGCCTAATTTAAATTAAGACATAATAGTGTTTGACTGGTTCCAGTAAATATAACTCCTAAAACTGCTTGGTGAAACTATTGTTAAAAACTGCCAGCTAGTAAAATTCGTCTTTTATTCTACACTTAAAGCAATTTCATGAAATTATTTAAATGATAAAATAAAGCAGTTAAAAAAAACAAATCTCACGCATTTGAATTCTTTAAGTTTTTTTTTTTTCAAATAAACGGTTTAGTCTTACCAACAATCCACCATTGAGATTGTTTTCCATCATTCAGTGATAATGCTAAAATATACTTTCAAAAAAAGTTTAGATTAAGACTAAAAATTAGTTTAGTAGAATTTGAATCTTGTTATCAAAATTTGGAAATATTGAACATTTTGATCTTACTAATTCAATTAAAACAACACTTAGAAAATTGCGCAGTGAGCAAATAGATCAGTCATTCAATTACGTTATTTTTATAAAATCTCAAAATTTGAAGTGAGCAAAAGTTTACAAAATATTTCTTGATAAAAAATGATATCTTACTTTTCAATAACTGAAAACTAGACTGAAGAAATAGAACAATATATACTTGATATTGATTCAACAGGTAGTTGTAATCGGGCTGATATACGGGAAAGAGAGAGTAGTGATAAATCCGACACAATAATCTATACAAGCATGAAAAACTATTCAAATTGACGTAATTTCACTCGCCCTTAGTCAAAAATTTTCATTTAAAATTTAAGTGAAAGTTGAAACTGCAGTATTTATATAGACATAACTGATGTGCCTTATATCTTATACTTACTTGAGAAAATCTGTTAGAAAGTACCTGCTGGCAATAAACATATTCATCCACAAAGCAAATGGAAACAAGCTAAAGTTGGTAATGAGTTTAGAATAAAATCTAACCTCTGCTGAAATCGGCTCATTGTGGTAAAGGACAACAAAAGTTTGCGTACATAACTCTGTAGAACATTCTGTTTTCAATATCTGCAAATTGCAGTTCTTTGAGATGCTTAATTTCTTAAACAGTTAAGACTTATTCCATAGCAGAAAGTGACAAAATTCTCGTTAATTGATTAAATCTATAATATTTATTATTTTTTTAATATTTCGCTGGTATGGAGTTTTGGTGCTAAACAAAATATTTGTATGAACTTCTTAAGTAATCAATTAGATAACTAGCCATGTGTTTATTCACTGAATGTGTAATACCTATTCTTTGGAGTATTCTAAGTTGGGCAAGTAGAGATAACAAGTTATTTCTTGGTTTGTTTATCATATGAAACTACTTACATAGTTCTTAATCTTGTTTATTAGCTAACTTGTGAGATAGAATTCTGCAGTATTTTAGAACAAAACACCATTATTTCTTCTATAGTCTGATTAATATGAGTACATTTTTATCATTATTAATTCATTTTTTTCTACTAATGAAATGATGGCATCATTATGACCTTAAAAGTAAGTTTAGTAATGAGCAAGTTGCGAGATGTTATGGAAGGCAACAACATTGTTAGTTATTAAGGAAGTTGGTTGAGCAAGCAAAGAGTTGATGTCTTTCTTAGTAGAAGTATGTCTATCCATCGATTTAAGCAAAATTCGTAATTGCTTGCTCAAGTTTCGCTCTTTTATGGACTATGCCAATTTCGTCTAAGTTATTCTGACAATAGAAATAGGAACACGCAAAAACACTCATTTATGTTGTACATGATTTGACGAAACACAGCGACTTAATGTAGTTTACACTTCTCACAACTGACAAACATCATCATGATTACACATAATTATGTCAATCAAATTACACGTATGAAATGTTATGCACAACATTGACAAATTTTGAAGAAAATTAAATTAGCATGATGTAGGAAGAAATGTTCAGTGTAATAGACGACTACCGGAATATTTAAGTGACTAATCACATATTTTGTCTAGCCAACTGTTTATTTTTTGCATTAATTTTCTATCCTTGTCTACCTCATACTACCCTTACATTTCTTGCTTCTAACTTTCTTTGAATTATTTATGCTTGAAGAAACTGACCTTTACATTAATTCCTTGATCTGAGTATTTTACAATTGGCCTTTGAGACATAATAAGCGATTGCTTGTAATGTTTCGCTTGATGTGCTTCGGTCGCTTCAGAGATTATTTTTGTCCATCGACTTTCTACGTCAGTGATGTTTTCAAAAACTTTTTCATTATCAATATATAGTGCTGAAATTATAAAAGAATACTAATTTCATGGTAATATTTTAAAAATAAGGGCCATTAATATAGTTTACGCTAGTTATCATTGTGATTATTGACTCAAAAAAACTATAGTTATTTGATTAATCAGTCAAAAGCTGCATACAACAGAACTATATACACTTTACTTCGTTGAAAACTGCAAAGAAATAGACGTGCCTGTCACTGTTAACAGCGATTATTTTACCATTTGTTTTAATGATTTAAATGACTTCAAAAGTTGAATGAGATAGGTAACGTGCGGCTAATGAATCTGACTCCTTCTGACAAATATTTAAATTTAAATACTTGCTCTGATTTGGTACTGATCATCATAACTGTCTCGGAAAGCATCGCTGTTGCAATAATAGCAAGCAGTTCTACTACTTGTTTCGACTACATTTTCTGAAATGTGAACCCCCATTCAAGAGGATTTATAAAGAAAATCAGATTCTTAGAAGCACAAAATACGCAACCTGCAGTTATCAGGTTCTCTATATTCCATATTTATTGCAAAGCATCTTATATTACACAAAATGAACACCCAACATAGCAAAAAAAGGCTGATTCATTTATTTGGCTCATTAAAATAAAAAAAAAGCAAAGCAAATTAATATATTAAAATAAATGGCTGAAGATTCACAGTTTTATGTGTGTAAAAAAGAAGAAACGCTTTCTTTTCTGGATTTGACTACGTATACCAGAATTTTTCGCATTTCAAGTACACTTTAATTCAATTGAATTATATTGTCTTCATGGGACATTTGCTTTCAGTTTTTCTATAACACTTATTTTAGCCCATTTTTGACCATAAAATTGTGAAACGTATCATATTCTGCCATAACCAATAATAACGCAATCATGCTAATTAATATCTAAATTTTGCATGATATGCTTATAAATAACAGAATTTTGCTGTGTATGAGAAAAAGAATGATAAGTAGGAACTTTATTTTATAAAGCTTATATTGAATTTTTAAGATAAAATAATTGGCACATGAATTATTGTCGTATTTAGTTTAAATAAGAAATATCATTTTCATTAAATACATTAATTTTTTTCTTCAAGAATATAAACATGAATTTTTTTTTTAATAGAAAGCATTGGTAAGAAGGAAATTCAGTCCTATTTTTTTCGCTCTAACTCTTCAATTTATTTTCCTCCAAGATTACTACTTAATCTATAATTCTAAAATTTTCTAAATCATTTATAATCATTAGAAAAATAGTTTAATGTTAATATCCAGTTTTCTTTTTTTTTTCAAGCAACAAATCATAATAACTCCTAGTTGCAAGTTAATCCCTCTCATTCCTTAAATAAAGACGTTTTTTAAATTTTCTTATGGGGAAAAAATATTTTAAAATTAAAACACACACCATTTGATATCCTTTTATCAATTGCTTCACTGCTTCCATCAGAAGAAAGTTCACTTGGCTGTTGCTGTTGTTGAGCTACAACGATACACTTCGCTAAAACGGTGTAACCTTTCTTTATACAGATTTCATTTTCAAATAATACTTGCGTAAATACAGCAATGAAAACTGTCAGTATCATCATACGTTCTGCAATGTAAATTCCTGCAAAATTTTCTTTTAAATTTTAAAGAAACTTTTGTTGCTAATCAGTCTCAATAACCACTTTTTCAGTGAATATCTGCTTCCATTTTATTTAGTACAATTAGGTTTAGGAATAACTATTTATGAAGCTGGCTTCTTTTTCAATAAATTTATTGACATTGCAACGTGAAATATTTCTAGCATCATTTCTGCACACGTTTACTTACTTTGAATACCCATGACCTTTATTTCAACAGAACCGGATGGCTTGCTTCTGATTTGTTCGCTTTATCACATTGTAGGCTAATATCCTGGTGGCTTACATTACAAATATGCTATTTATTTATTTATTAAAATCGGTTCTGTATAGTTTCAAAAGATTTAAGTGAGATGAATATGCATGGGATCAACTAGTACACTATATATCTGCAGCAATTGAATTTAAGCAATCAGAGAGGCGAACATCAAAGATAAATAAACTTTAAAACACATGCTTTTATTGCAATATGTGAGTGAATGGGCATGACGGAAAAAAGAATGACTACGATTGATTATTGTGTGCAGTGACAAATTGTGTCGTGTTTTTCAGGTTAATGAACATAAAATTATTAAAACTCATTGAAAAAGCTAGTGTTGCGTAAGTAAGCCGATAATTTAAAGGTTGAAGTAAGTCAACTAAAGCATGACGTACATAAGTAACATGATTAATATAAAAGTTACCTTGCAAAATTTGGTTCTGCTATGTTAAAAGTAATAGTAATAAGTAATTTACAAAGTAATAGGATGAATAAATTAGAAATGATGATAGACACTGATGCTAATGCATTAGTATTCACAGCATTGTAAGTCATTTCGTCAGGTTGTCATGGTAATAAGATTCAATTTTGCTTTCACGCTTCTCTTAAACTTTCACATCTTTGATACTTTACCGAACGCTAATTCGTACTGTGAGTCTTGTTCAAGCACTATGGTCTCCATTTATAGAGATCTATCATCAAAGATTACATTTTTCCGGTCTGTGAACACAATTTAACCCTGAATCAATTGTTAACCTAATGATGTAACTTCATTTATCAAAGAAAACATTGCTAAAATGAATAAACGAAGAAATTCTATTTTCGTACTTACTCGTCAACAAATATTAACCATAAATCTCGTCAGAGCATTGTTATAATTCATTCATCGGAACTTAGTTACTAGTGATTATATCTTTATATATTCTTCAGTGCATCTTTTTAAAATCTATTCTTTTTATGAAGCATCTCAACCTTTAAACATAAAGTTTCTAAACTGCTAAAATTAATGGTTTTTGATGAAATTCATACTTTATCAGAGTATTCTCAATTGTACTTTCTAGCTTCAGACGACGAGAAGAATTAATATTTAATATGACAGACTTGGTAATTTCATTGTAATACAATTCACTTATAGGAACAGTTATAATACAATTCACTTATAGGAACAGTTATTCTTGACTTTTTGAAGTGATCTGAACGATACGACATATTTTTGAAATATGTCTTATTATTCAGATCTTTCATTTCGTGATATTGTATTGAGATCAATTCATTATTTAGCTTTCTACAGTAATACTTTTCGAGATAAAAATTTCTAAATTCATAATGCAGAATTTAAATGAATTGGTTTCATAAAGCAGCATCCAAAATCAGTTATTATGTAAAGTAAATTATGGTTGTTGGTTATGATTTTTTTCTCCTTTCACTTTCCTAATTGTCCTTATTATGTTTAAGTAGTATGCCTTTTATATTTAAGTAATAAAAAATGTATTAAATTAAGAAGGAACGGAATGTGCAATGATAAAATGTTTTGTTTTTTCCCTACGGTAACATTAAAAATGGTAGTTTCAAACTTTGAATACTTTATTGCTATCAAAATAACACATTGCATCAGTGCCTTCTATACAACTTTCAATTTTTGAATTTCTGAAATAATGATTGCTTTTGATAAAATCATGCGTTGAGGAAAAAACAATTCATTTTATGTCTTATCTAAAAGTATAAGAAAACATTGTGGAAATCTATTACTCATGCTTCCATTCAAATTAAATAGATTGTGATGACAATCCATCTGCACAAAAACCTGACTGTTGTATAGAAGTATCCACTTCTATTTAATTAGAATGGTTTGAAAAAATGGTGATATGAAGAATCCTCATAAAAATTTAATTCTTGTTTTCGAGAATTGTTCAATAAGATGATTTTTTAATGATTGCTAGCAAATTATTTTTTCTTATCAGTTCTGCAAAAGGAAATGACTATAGAGAACAAAGTTAGTGAAAGTCAGATATTTCGTATGCAACAAAGAATGCTATTTGTTCTGATTAGAAGTGTTTTATTTGAAAAATAAAACCTGCATTTTTTGTGCTCTTACTAATCCTTCACTTGAAAATATAGTTGTTTTTGACGGGGATTCAGCATTAAGTCTAATTTTTCCTGTGGTTAGAGGTGGTGGTTCTTGCATATTTTGTTAAGAGAATCAATAATCACACAAACAATGCAGTACAAGCAAAAGGTAAGGTAATCATTGATGTCTTTGCATTAGGCATGGATAGAATGGAGACATTTGAATGCATGTCAATTTATCAATACTATGTGTGATGTAAGACATGTAAATTATTTGAAATCCTATCTTTCATCCTATTCCCAGTTATTTTTTCGACATATTTCTTGCTCAAAACAAATTTTCAATTTTTGCTAGGAATGAGTGGCTGCATTTGTTTACAGTAATTCTACAAAGCTTCAGAGATATCATTTTTGAATTAATAATTATAATGTAAAACATGACAACTTTAATCTCTTAATCAAACTAGATGTTATTGCTGAATCATTATTATGATGATCAGTATCAGTGAGAAATTAGGATATAGTACTAACTTGCTTTAAAAATATTTGAAAATTAGAATGAAAAAACTCTAAAATTCTGAGTGACTGGAATGAGTAATAAAAAAAGTTTGAATTAATTTAATAGTTGATAAGGTAGCTAGGGCGAGATATCCTAACGAGAAATGGAATTTTAACTGTAATGAATATAATAGATGGATAGATGGATGCTGTGTAAAAATAATATGTTTCAATAAAGAAAACGAAATATTATTGAAATTTAAAGAGAATTGGTCTAATGCAGAGGAAAGATATAGATAGATAGATAGATAGATGTTGGAGCAACTAGCATTTGCAGTCTGTGCAGAAAATAGTAGAAGAAAGAAGAAATTCAAATTTATGCTCTAACCAAGTTAGGCTATTCTGGAAAATAAGAATGTTTGTCTATTTCTCATCGAGCCACAGTGTGATGATGGTCGTTCATAGGAGCTAGCAAAGCGGTCTAACTAGTAGTATCTAGTACGAGTAAAAGCGCTGCTTCCCTCGCAAATCGGATGTTAGCTAGCACTTGCCAACTTTATATTCCATTTTCCTGTGTAATGTTTAAAATTAAATTAAGTTCAATGCCTCAGAAAGACTTTATTTTTTGCTACTTCTTAAACTTGTTTTTTATTTGTTTAAATGAAATATTTTAACAGTCGCAAAGTTAATGAATTCTTAATGCATTTCTACCTACTTCAATTAAATCTTAATATCCTAGACGTTGCAAGTATGCAATATTTATTTCTTCTCTATTTCATTCATATCTATACAGCATGATTCTGTACTTTCAGATGTAGAGAGTTTTCACTGACTACATAACCTATATTTTCTAAAGTAAATAGCACCATACCATATACCATACCATATTTGAATATTAATCTAGTGTAGGAAGTAAAAATAGAGATGACAAAATGACATTGACTTGTCACAATTTTACATGATGTGTAAAATATTTAAAACTTTTTCTAATGTCCATTCATTATACATGTGATGAATGTTGTTCAAATTACTCAAATCTTCAAGTAGTGAATGAAACTTGCTAATCTCTTAATTAACCATCAAAGAACAATTTCGGACATTCACTACTCCTCACCTTGTGCAGTATTTCATTTGTTCTCGACTACTCTAGCTTTTTAGAAGCAATTTCTGTCTCGTGACTAACTTAATCAATGGAAAATGCGGGAATTACTAATAGTATATGCATTTTGCATAGCATAAAAATTGAGCCTACATATTCATCACTCTACTTAGTAATCATTTTGATCATATGTTGACACACATTTCATTTCAATCTAATTCTTACTTATTTTCTGAGCTATAAAAATCTCTAGAAATTTCAGGATTTTATCGCTGTCCTTTGTAAAAACAAACTGAATTTGCAATTTAGTTTGGAAAATAAATTTGGAAGGACAAAAAATGAATTTAAGTTTGATAATAATTTCAAGTTGTCTCCTCTTTTATAGGTATTTCCTAATGTTTTTCCTATTTATCATTCAAAAAATAGTATTCCAATTGTTTTAGTATCATTCGCGCACCAAATAATCTATATAAATTTTTTTGGTTATCAATAAATTTGGAATACTTTTTTTCCAATGTAGATAGAGTAATTTCCATCACATAAGCATTTGTACATAGATCTCGAAACCAAGTAGTTTATATACTACTTATCATGTTAAACGGAGAATTTAGAGCTTTAATTGTCTAAATCAAAGGTACTGTACAAGCAACGAAATATAAATGTAAATTCCACATTTTGAAGCAGAATCTAATATCTGTTGTGTCGCTTTCAATTATCTTTTACCATCATTGCATCAGTTCAGTAAAATATTTTTTAATTGTTGAAACTTCCTTTTCCAGACTAATTTATCTTTTCATTAGCACATTAGCTATCATCACAAAAATGTAAGCAAAAACTTTCTTCGTTTATCACGAACTGGCTTGCCACAAATTCAAATTTTAAAAAGTTGAAATATTTGAAATAGGATCAACAATGCAGATTTTTCTCAATTTTTAAACATAAAAAGTGCGAACAATAATGAAGCCATATATATGCTTTTAACTGGCTCTTAAGTAAAGTAGAGTGATTATATAAAAAAAGTTTGAAAAATCTATGTATTAATTGAGCCATTTTAATTTTCGTATTTAGCAAGTCTATAAAATGACAATCATTATAATATCTCACCAATAAATTGCTGCAGACAAATGCAACAATGGCTGAATTTTCGATCATTGGTAATAATATGCAGTAATCTTGATGTGTTAATATCTTACTGCTTATTAAACAAACATTCATGGATAAATCTTGCTATATTGTTGATCACAGATGAACGATATATTAGATTATTCTTTTAGTGACTTTTGAACAAAATCCTTTCTTCAAACATGTCTGAAGTTTCTTCGAACTACTTTAAACTTAAAACAATTATTTCTCTAATTAAGTAGTTGGTGTATTTCTCTAGTCATTTAGATGTCTGTTCTGAATGTTTCCTTTTCATCCGGAACACCTTATTAAAGGTGATATTTTTTGTAAACTTATGATTTCCTTAATGCAATGAAATTTACTTCATTACATGCAGTCATCATTGTAATATGAAGTAAATGTAGTGGTTGGTTATCATTAGTGCTTGATTATACTTTATATTCATTGGAAAATAAAGCTTTTTGTCTAAATCTAATTCTCTTCGAAGAGAATACATCAAGTAATTACTTTGAAGATAACACGCGCTCATTGATTATTGTCAAGTGTTTGCAGCAAGAATGAATGTGAAGTGTGATGGTTGCTGCGGATAATGTTGAAGATTGTAAGCTTTTCAGGAAGAAGTGCCGGTATAATTGTGCTATGCGTAAAAAGCTGTGAAATTGAGTAATATCTAGCATACACCAGTGCATTCCCTCTAAACTGACAAGGAGATTATCAACAACAACAACAAAATAGCAGCAAGTTAGTGGCAGTGAAGTTATTGTTAGCAGCAGCAGTCCAGACATTGTTATTGGTGAACAGCTGAGGGCAGTTGCTAATATCAGAGTTGTTGATATCCACCCAGCCACCCCAGTTCAGGTTTATTTTCGATGCACATCTTTCTCAGTAATTCCATTTGTGGTCTGCTAAAGTTGCAGTGAGTATGAATTTACGTGTGACTAAACAAGCTCTGGGAGAGAAGAAAGATGTATGTGTGCAAAGTGAGTGAGTGAAGTTAGTACGTGAGCATCAGTAGCAAAGACTAGGCCAATAATACTTGTTCTCTGGGAAAGGAAAATTCTGATTCTATCTGTCTATCTATCTGTCCGTCTATCGATCTATCTATCTACTCGAACTATCTAACTAACAACGACATCCATCAAAAGTGCAATAAATTTACAAACTTTCTTATGAAATTATCGCTGAATAAAAAAGAGTGTGTAGGGGACATTTATTCATTTTGTGTAGTGAAGGAAAAAGGGTCAGAGGATGAAGAGAAGACGAGCACTGAGATGTCGAAAAAGGTTACTATAAAAGTGAGCTTCTTCTATTCTCATCATAATTTCATAATTATTTTCGCTGGAATGATTATGACATAGAGTAGAGCAAGTGGTAATGACAATGTAAAAAGCTCTTATGTTATGGATTAAGCTTTTTGGTTGTGCTTGCATGGATAGATGTAGCTGATAAAATCCTGAACATCCTTGAGTAGTTTAAGTCTAGTTTAATAGGCAACATTGGAGAACTAAATCCCAACTAGATCTTATCTCTAGAGCTTAATCTTCTCGTGACTCTCTCTCATTTTCAACTGCTCAGATTTCGTGTACATAAATCCTCTTGAACAGTGCATGCATTTGGGATATCTTTCGTACTTGATTCCATAGTGTTTCGAGCAACTACAAAACAAAATACATTCATTCTATATCAAACATGTAACTGTTACTGTTATTGTTTTACTTCTTATGTTTCGCTAAAGTACGAAGTTGAATTTCATGCTCATCGTGATGCTATCTGACAGCATTTATGCTTGTATCCTAACATTCATCTTTCGTCACAGTTTATTCTTAAGCTCTTTCTTACAAACTCTTACTAATTTCATCTTCTTTGTTAGGTTTGCTTTAAATCGCGTCCACCATCAAACACTAAGCGCATGACTGAAATGCTCTCAATCAGACTTTTACAGTTCGTAGAAAATTCAGTATAGCTGTTAACTTCTTGCAGTAATAATGCTGAAGCAATATTTTCAATAAAAAATTATGTTTTTCCATCAAATTCGCTGCTATTTTACCCTTCTCATTTCGAGAAAAACATACTGTCTGCATATTTCATTATAAGTTGGTAGCGTATCATCAAATATCCCTTCACACTTAGTCAACATCAGTTTTTATATTGAACTGTTAGCATACACTGTGACTGCATCATAGCGGTTGCATTTTTCTTCATCCAAAAGAATAATTCAACAACTTCTGAAGCCCTCATAAATCAATTTCTTCATAATTTTTCTTCTATTACGAACTGATTTATTTCACTTTTCTCTCAAGGAAGAACAAAAAGTCATTAGTCTCTGTATAGTTTTCAGCTGCATCTTAGAATGTGTGAATTTATTACTTGTGTTGTGAAAATAATGTGTTATTCATTTATCACATCATAAAAGGAAAGCTAACGCAAATAGACTTAATCCGGAGTTCCTACCGGAAATGCTTTAAAATAAATTTGTGAAGATGTAATGCTAGTGTAAACTTGACAAAGCTATTCTATGGTCTTTACAAATTTCATTTTTGTCTGGTGGTAAGAGACTTCACAATTCTCGATACGTCATTAAAGTAAGAAATATGAAATTAGAAATGCGTATGCAAGCAATAAATCTAAAAGAATGATTGAGCACTTTTATAATTACAAATCAGTGTTAATTTATTTTAAATCTAAAAATGACTCTTTTTCGTTCTACATTGGCTTCAGTTTTAAGATAGATTTTTTCAGCCACACGTAAAGCATCAGAATCTTTTTATTTGGCTTTACTTCTTGCATTGACTGTCAAGACTTCATTATTTCTTGTCTTCTGAAGTGGCTACTATGTTTAGATTTTAGAGTAAATTCTGTTATCGCTGTTCAATTTTTTAATGAAACACACTGCTTATCCCTAGATTACTCTCATCTTTATTTTTTTTAATCCATGACTCAAACTGCATTGAAAGAATGTTTTTAATCATACTTTCACATGATTAGAATCATTGGAAGATCTCATTTTAAGATATTCCGATTGAATTTTCCTCAGACTTTACAGCTTTCAAAACTTAGAAAACAGTGAATGATGTAATGGCATTTCCCTGACTATTTGTTCCTAAGCCATATCTGTCTTATTTTAATGTTATTCAGATATGTAATTCACTTCTTTTCAGTCTTATTTTAGGCTGTTGATCCTTTTCCCCTGGTTAAAATTTTCATATTTTGAACTGAAGTGCCCCAACTTAATTGTCACTTAACAAATTTGTAGCAATGCTTTTAAATATGTAGAACTCAGTCATTAAAAATATTTTGTTGGAAAAGAATTTGTTTTTTCGAAGACATTTGTCATAAGCTGTTTTTTTAAGCATATTAACCTAAACATGTAAATTGATATAAATGCTTTATCTCGCAGATTGGAGACTGCAATTTACAAAGTGTTCTTAATAAATAGCTTTTTATCTTTATTCAACTTTTTTACTTTATATTATAAGCCCTAAACATATTATCTCTGTCAAGTGACCTATTTTGTTCTCTTTTCTGATAATTTTATATCCGAATCTGATGAAAAAAAAAATCAAAAAGTAATTAAGGAACATTTCGCTTCCGCTATTACTGCCTATCAGATGTCGAAGATTAGTACTCTCATCTGGATTTATGTTGTCAGTTCTCTATCACTCACATAAGAAGTGTCGAAGAAGTGTTGCTATGCATTCGCTTTTCATGCACCATTAAACTTTGTTTGTGTCCTGTGATAAACTTTTCGTCTTTATCAGACTGTTTAATAAAAGATTAATATTTTTACTCCTGTTACTATTGTTTCTGTCATTGCTACAGACATATCGTAGCAGCTTGAAGAAATTATATTGTATATGTTAGAATTGCAATCAAATTATCTTGTCATAATATATTTAGCTTGTTTAATCCTACTTTAGAAGTTTTTTTGTACTTAAAAGATATCACAGGTTACAAACAATCTATCTGTTGAGAACCAGAATGATTTAGCTTATATGTCTTTCTTCATTTAATATTCATAAAAGAATCTTATAAATCCAAATTATTATCCATAAAAATTATAAAATATGGTCCACTTCATTCATAGAATAATTTTTGAGTTGTTATTTTGAACTTGAGATATCATTCTGACCGCATGATTAGATTAAAAAAAACATAATCAAAAGAAAATCCAGCTTATTTTTTTGTGTCTTTTCCGTCTTTTAGTACTGCTTTTTTGATATTGCTTGTTGCTTATTGATTTGATAATCAGTGTGTTTACAGACAAGGTGTGTCAGGAACGTACGACACATTTCATTAATCCAATGAGCTAAGGCAACCCTTAAATGGGGATTCTTTGGATCTGTTCAGAAATATCTGTTAATACTTTATGTTAATCAGAAGTCAGAATACGTAATTAAGTGAAAGGTAGCTTTTCCTTATTCATATTTTTTTTTGTTATATAATCGCTGTATATTCTTAATAAATAGGTGGAAGAAATTTTTTGTTCTCCTATATTTGAAATATTGATTGTGTTCAATAATTTCTTCATGCTTAACTGACAGGAAATGCAATAAAAGAAATCAAGTTAACATTCTGTATAACATTACTTTTCAAAAAATTTTCGATTGATGCAAGTTATAGAACTGGCCAGCGGTGGCGGTGGAATGCTGCTCTATTACTTGGCAGCCATATTCAAAGGGCTCCATCCACGAGTTGATGATGATTTCGTTGACAAGCTCAATTATCACTATACCTCTGCCATTATTTTCGCATTTGCGATAATTGTTTCTGCTAAACAATATGTCGGTACGCTTTTTTTGCTTTTATGTATAATAGGTTTGCAAGTTCAAAGAACATATAGCATGAAGTATTGCTTGCTCTGCAGTAAATAAGAGTGAAAAAATCGTAGCTTACCATCTTAAAGTTTATGGACTTGGTATAGTAAAATTAAGTGAGAGAAAAAAGTAAACAAAAACGTCAAAATTTTCATTATTACCAAGTTGATGGTGCTTTACAGTACTTGTTTTTCAGTCTCATACGACTGTTTCTGTGAAAATATAGGAATCACATGAAATTTTTAGTATTTTTTGTTTTTTTATGGATTTTGGTTCATGGATTTTTTTTTTACAAATTTTCACTAGTCTTTTGAATTTTTAGATAGCAGTAAATAATATTTGGTAAATTCAAAATCGTTGTATTGTAATTTATCGAACTGTTCCTTTCTTTTTCCTTTCGGATTTTAGGATTTTCCACTACTGTTCTTAATTACTGCTCAGTTTTCATTAAGGAATAATTATCTAAATTTTAGGATACCCAATCCAGTGCTGGGTACCTGCACAATTTACGGATGCATGGGAACAGTATACGGAAAATTACTGTTGGGTAGAAAATACATATTATTTGCCTTTAACAAGTGCTTTTCCTCTCGAATATGGCGACAGAAGGTACTCTTTTTATTTCAACTTTAACTTGCACATATTTATATTTAATCATTTCTGTATTGATATTACTAGAGACAACGTCTTGAAATGTTGATTGCAGAGCTCGACAAATCAGTTACTATCAATGGGTACCATTCGTACTTGCTCTTGAAGCTTTGATGTTCTACATTCCATGCATTATGTGGCGAGGTTTGCTACACTGGCACTCAGGTATTTCATTTATATTATTTGCCTCTATTTTTCTCAAGACGACACTAAAAGCAGAAGAAGACCTAAAGAGTTAAGATTAAAAAATAAGTCGTACTAAATCTATTCTTGGCAATTATTGATAAGTTGCTTGTTCATTTTATTATACTGCCTGGCTGCTACTAACCAGGCCCAGGCAAGATGGATATAAAGTTGTTTGTGAAACGCTACTAATGAATAAATCGGAGCTTGCCTATTCTCTAAAAGCTACTGGGCTAAATCATCGTTATTATTTTGTTTTTCTGCAATCCGAACTTTGTTTTGCACACTATCAACTAATATCTTTCATCCACTAATTTTGTCATATCCTCAAAATGTAAACTTCTTGCATCACTGCTTTACTGATAACTTCACTTTGCATGTGAATCTCAATGTATCTGGAGATTATAAAACTAAAGGCATTACAGATCAAATATTTGTCGATAACGTCATTTTAAAATTTTTGATTCATAAATAATCCTTATATTAATAGTGTCAATTCTGTACTGCCGCTGTTAATAAACTCTCAAGTAGTTACATATAAATTAGTGAAGCAAAATCAGTTGTTTAGTATCAAAATTTAAAACATAGGAAATTAAGGGATTAATGTGCAAAGCCTTACACAAATGGCTTGTGATGCAAGGATGATGGATGCAGATGCCAGAGCAGCTACAGTACAAACTATTGCGGGGCATATGGAAGATGCTTTGGAAATACAAAGGGAGGTAAGTTAGAGTTTTTAACGCCTTTTTTGTGTTAGACATTAGTAAACTATGTATCATTTGAATGTTAAATATTTTTAATACAAGTATGTATCTTGATCAAATGAGTAAAGATTATTGCTTAGTAATGATAAATTTTTAGGTGACGGATGTATCCGGGATGTGCGTTGGAAAAAGATGGGGTTCATATGTAACCTGTCTATATGTATTTATTAAAACTTTATATTTGGTCAATGTTGTTGGGCAGATATTTTTACTGAATACTTTTCTCGGCACCGATAATATCTTTTATGGTTTCCACATACTCAAGGATCTGCTCAATGGTCGTGAATGGGAAGTAAGTGGTAATTTCCCGCGTGTCACTATGTGCGATTTTGAGGTATAAATATTTCATTTAATCCTTCAGCTTTGCATGATTCAACTTTAGATCTATTAATTTGAAAGAAAAGATATGTCAAAACAATTATATGAAATGAAATTTTCTTTTAAATTAGTTAATTGTAATTGATTAATAACGTTTTCTGTCAAAAAAAAATTTCATCAATTTATAGGTGCGTGTTCTCGGTAATGTTCATCATCATACTGTACAATGTGTATTGATGATAAATATGTTCAACGAAAAAATATTTTTGTTTTTATGGTTCTGGTATTTTATGGTGTCAATTGTAAGCATGTTTTCCATGGGTCATTGGATGCTCATATCATTTCTCCCAGGACAGGTATTTTTTGTTTCACTTCTGTTCATCTTTTGAACTCATTTCACTTAAACGGTTTCATTTTTGATTAATTGATTTTATTACCCGCTTCATCATAATTTAATTTTAACTAATTGTTGAACAAAAGAAGCAAACAATGTAGCATAATTTAGCAGGCCACTTTAATTATGAAAAAGAGATGTACTTTTGAGAACATACTTCCAGCATATGAAATTTATTCGAAAGTATTTGAAAGCAACAGATCTGGCTACAGATAGGCAGTCTGTCAAAAAATTTGTGCATAAATTTCTCGGATATGATGGTGTATTTTGTATGAGAATGATAAGTGCACACGCCGGTGATATTATGGCTACTGAACTTATTGTTGCTTTGTGGCATAATTTTAACGACAGGTTGTTTGAATCAGTGTATATTGTTTTATCATAATAATATCAATTTGTTCTATAAAAACTTATTTTTGGTAATAAATAACATTTAATATTTTAAAAAAGCGAATAATTTCTTGTAGAGTGCGGAAAAGTCCGATTGAAATGTTTGAAGGAGGTGTAACTCAAAGCCCAAGCAAGTTGGATGCAAATTTCAAGACTTGGCTTCTTGGACAAACCAGGTGAGGTAAATTCAAAATTTATTTGTTTTTATTGCCTTCAGAAATCTATATTATATCATTCATATTGCCCTTTCATTACAATCTTGAATGCAAAAAACGAACTTATTTTTCACTATATACTTATTTTGAGATAGCATTCTAATGTGATTATTTCAAATTATCTTAAATATACAAACGAAATTTTCATATTTTAGCAAATTTAATTACCATACCAAACTACTGTCAAACTGATTTTTCAATTTTGAATATTTGCCATGATGCACAAGTAGGTCAAATGACATTACTTTGTTGCGACATTTATATTCTCAAAAAATTTACTTAAAGAAAAGTATTTTTTTCTTTGAATATCTAATAATATGATTGTTTGGCCTTTTTAACGAAGAGATATCAATTGATTGAAGAAGTAATTTGTTAAGGAATAAGCCGCCTTTTGATGGTTCAAATCCTACACGAAGCAAAAAACGTCGGAAATCAGATGGCTATTTCACTTTTGTATAAACGGCAAGCCATCCTGAAATTACTGCAGTAGCGAATTTATTGCTCTGTTGTTTATTTTGTTTAAATAGCACATACAAAATAAAAGAAGACAAAATGTTGCATTTAAAAATATCCATCAACGTTTAATTGTTGTTATTTACTGACTTTTCAATTATTATCTCATCATTATATATATTACAAATATTGCCAGTATTATATTATCAGTATGATCTAAAAAGTTATTATCGAGACATTACTTCACTCTTTAATGAAGTCTTTTAAATTACTTGATAATCACTTGAAATATTTTCTCACAGCCCTATTCAAAAGTTTTCTTTTATTAGAACGGAACGACAATGTAGTGAGTTATTAACGAATTTTGATTCAGAAATGAATTACTATAGGCAATTGATTAGGCTTGTCTTGGGAAACTTTTTTCCATGTTGCAACTACTGTGATATCTTGCTTGCTAACTGAAGATTACTGGCAGCTATGAAGCAAATACCATATTTCTGATACTTAAATGTTTATTTTCATGAAGTCGTGATATTGGCGGAATAATTTAAAGAAAGTTATGTAACTGCATACTGAGCATTGTATTTGATGTTTTTAACGCCTATCTATCAGATGCATTGGTGCACATTGAATGCCTTATATTATTTTGTGGGAGAGATTTTAGAAACGATTTTGTGCGATGATTATTATCTGAAATTTCTTAAAAATGCTATTCATACGTGGAAACGTAAATTAAAACTTATTAAACTAAAAGACATCGTCAAATCAAGTATTTCAATGATGGGTCGGTTTAATGTTAAATTTTTTTATCTGAATGTGTTTTTTTGCAATTTGATTCATTAAATGTGCATTGAAATCATCATGTAAACAAGTACTCTAATTTTCTGAACGAAATTTAAAAATACCCGTGTTAGGAAGCGAGGTAACTAAAATATAAATGTAAGATTCATTTAGAGTTTTCATTCACACCTCTCTCTAAGTTTGCTCACTTCAATTCTACCAATCGTAAAGCAATAAGTAATGCTAATTTTGAAGTAGGCGTATCATCATCACCCTCATACTGCCATTTGTTAAGTAAGCTTGGTGTTATTAAACAATTTCTTTGTTTCCCGATTTAATTACAAGTCTTTCTATATATATCTATAATCGGTATTATCAGTATTCCATTGACAATTATTTCACTTCATTTAGCAACCTGATAACGATTGGTTTCTTCTTTACAGTGCATTCAGCTTATTGGGACTTAATTCATCGCAAAAATAATGAGGCAATAATCGTTTGACAGAAGTGTACTATCTTTCTGATTCTTGTCTGTATAAGCAATGAGTGTAATGGATTCAATTTTTTCTTTCTTAATATAGAAAGTGATGTAAAGTCGACTTTCAGTGATGTGTTTTATGTAACAATTTGATTAAACATAGCTATATTAGCATTAGCAAGTGCAGAGTTATGTTTAGAGCTATTATAACTCTAAATTATATTCTTATTTTCTGATTTATATTCTTATTCTCTGAATTATATTCCTATTTGTTATTATATTCTGAGTTATTATAACTCAGAATCACTCACTGAAGTCAACTCTTAGCTGTAGAAAACACATACTCAGTCTAAACAAACAACAACTCTAATTAAAAAATTGTGTTACGGGTCTTTTATTTATTTATTTTTACATTATGTTGGCTCTGCATTTAGCCATGTAATGTTTACGAATTGCACTTGTGATGATAAAATATTTTGAGTTGTTTTGGTAATAGTGAAATAGATGGATGGTAAGAAAAATATGGTTACTACACTTGACTGCACTTTTAGCTTTTTCTGTCAGAAAAGGCTAAAATGATTGTACTGTTTACAATTAAGACATGTAATACAAGATTGCAAATTTGAACTCGTCATTACAGTCGATATGAAATCAAAGAACCTGCTTTATGACAACGTTCTTACTTCCTATGAAAATTGACTAGAATTCACTTAGTCTTGCGCAGGACTGCGTCAATTTTGACGTTATAATTTCGTGATCATAAAAACTTAATGTAATTAAAAATTTCTCAAAGACCATTAGTTTATTAAGTGCTGAAAGTATTTGTATGTAGTTTTAACTTCAATTCAGTAATTACTGTTACAAGTCAGGCATAATTTTATACTTACAGTTGTATGCGTATCAATTTAGAAATCTGCCAGAAATGATCAGTACAACTTTAAAAATCTTTAGCTGGTTATTCAGTCTATTTTGAATTTCAATAACATAATCAAGGGACAATTTTTAGTTTTTTTCATTGTTTGCGAAAAAGTAGCTCAATCAATTACTTTTTTTAAACACATACTTCATGAAAGTAATGGTAGATTTTAATTTCAACAATTTTAACAACAACTGGTCTGATGTTTTTTATATAACATTTCTGATGCTCATCTAAGTACGTAAACATTTATGTTTCATTATGATATTTTTTCAACATAAAAGTGATTCTGTTAGCTGTAATAAATTTTCTTAAATACAATAATTTTCAGCTACTTTTTTTTGAAGTCAGAAGTCTCAAAAAATTTTTTGATTAATTTTTAAATATTTAGTATTTTTAGGAGTGCTAGCAGTCATTTAGAAATGTTCATTTTGACTTTATGTGCAGTACTAATACAGCATATTACTGCAGAATGTGGTAAGATTTCGTATGAAACAAAAAATATTATGCCTGAATATTTGTCATTACTCAGAATCTATTTTAGTTGCACTGAAAAATTTTTGAACTGACTGAGCAATGTGAAGTACAAATTGTTCACATAGAAAAAAAATATTTTATTACAGTTTAAGATTTCAAATTCAAATGCTTCGTTAATCTAAAAAAAAATTTTGTTGTTACTGAAAGAAATTTGTTAAATATTTCAAGAATTAATGTCCTTTTGACAGGTCCAAGATCATCTGTCAGCAAACCAAAATTGCTAACAAAATGCAAAATAAGCAATCGAGCAATATATGATTTTCAAGTTGAAAATTTGGACGGATCAATGACAGACTTGTCAAGCTACCGTAACAAAGTTATTTTGCTCATTAACGTTGCCACATATTGTTGTAAGTTCAAAAATATATGTAATTTAATGCGTATGCTATAAATAATGCATTGCCTACCAGATTAAGCGATAAAGATGCGTAAAATTGTTTCTTTGAATAGTACAATATGACGCTGTGATAAAATAAATTTATCAACAAAATTCATTTTAAAATATTTTGTCATTTTTTACATTTAGGAAATTAAAAATAATAACTTTTAAGATTTATGCAGTTTTGCGGATACATGAGTATAGTTTAAAAACTAAAAATCCTACAATTTTGTATAAAAAACAAACTTTTACTTTTAATTCCTTAATTTTACTCTACTTAAAAGACAAATTAAAAAAATGAATAATAATTTTTAGCTTTCACTGAGCAATACAAAGACTTTAATTTGTTGCTCAACAAAAATAGTAATGCGTCACTTGTAATTCTGGCATTTCCATGTAATCAATTTCATTATCAAGAACCAGCTCGTAATCATGAATTACTGAATGGTTTAAAATATGTACGACCAGGAGAGGGCTGGCAACCACATGAAAAACTACATATTTTTGGCAAATTAAATGTTAACGGTGATTCCAGCAATCCACTATACAAATTTTTGAAGGTCTTCAAATTCACTTGAAAAACTTTAAACCTATTATTTACTTTCTCTCTCTAAAATTAAATCTAAAAGCAGACTTAATTTTTTGGTTTGCTGTGAAAGCATTTTTTCATGTGTCTTACCGTTACTTGCAAGTTGAGTTTTAAATTAAAATATAATATTTCAACTATTTTTAGTACAAGCTAAAATATCACAACATGATCTTTTCTCATGGATATTTTATGATAACTTTTTAAAGTTTACACTTTTTCAATAATTTATACTTACAGAAGGTTGCTTAGTTTGCTATTTTCCAGGAAGTCTGTCCACAAACAGCTGAAACCATTGGAAGACGCGATGAACTTATGTATGATCCAATTAGTGTTAATGATATTACTTGGAATTTTGAAAAATTTCTGATTGACAAAAAAGGTCGACCTCGTTATCGTTTTCATCCTACAGCGTGGGGTAAGGGAACTGAAGTACAGCCGTTTATCTATCAATTAGAAAATGAATAAGAAGCGCATAATATGAGTAAATAATAACTATCTAATTTACAGTTTGAAAATCAAGATTTGTAAAAGTTTCTCTTACCATATTGGTTATGTAATTATGCAAATTATGCAGCCTAAAACTTTTATAAATCCTTTTTTTGGCAACTTAAATGATTTGAGGCATTGTTTAATGATTGTGCATAAATAATAGCATCATATTTATTTTTATGAACATTGAAATAGTAACTCATTTCTATTCTTATCTTTATTTATTTTTCTTTATTCAGCTAATCACTTCATTTTTATTCTCAAATATTATTAATTACAATTACATATTTACTGATAATGTTCTCACAATTTCATTTTGAGAAGTTTGACACTTTTGTAACTGCAATAATTTTATTAGCTACTAATTCCTTACTTTACTGACTGATTGTTTATCTAATACTTATCACAAACAAATTTGCTAATGTCAATTAGCTAATTTATTTTGCTCCAGCCCAGTTTAGTTATGGCAACTTTTTTGAAGTGAAGATTGAAATCTGTAAAGAAACTCTACGAAACTTTACAAATTCTTATTTATGCGTGTATGACAAAGCCAAATCATTTTTTTGGCTAATTTAAATTTCTTTTAAATACTTTTCACATGACGACAGCAGTTTGGTCTTTTTAAAGTGCACTTTTTGTATAGTTTTGCAGCAAACTCTGTTACGTGTGACTGTGTGGGTAACATCTAGCAAAACCAGTTCCTCAATGAAATAAAATAAAATTGAGTGTGTATGACAACAAATAAATCACGCATATCACGAACAGTTTGAAAATTTATACTTTGAAAAGTGACATTTCATGTTTATTTTTCTTAGCAAAAAATACTGCATATTGAATTTTTGAAAAACTTCGATTACGAGACATTATCGAACGTTAGCACAAGCTTTCATGGTACAACTTAAGCGCTTCTTTCCAGCCTTTTCATGCATTTTAATCTAGTTTATATATCATACGCTTTTAAAAAGTCAAGTTAGCAAATCTTTCTTATTGTATTACTTTACAACCAGAGGATTGATAACCCAATACTTAAAATAAAGTGCACTGATTAGACGTTATCCTTAATTTGTCTCAGTGAATTATTGTTTAGCATAATATGACTTAAATGGAAAGCACGGCAAGTAATCCATAAATAACTGCAATTTTTATAAGTAAAAAATTAAACTTGTAGAAAGCATCATATTTCCAATTTTGAAAAAATTAAACTATGACTTCTAAATTTATTTACTTAGCAACAATGTGGCATTTCATGTGGACCTTGATGAACCTGTAGAATCAAATGTGGTAAAGAGACTGACCATAATTTTTGGGGCATGTCATGAAAACACGGATATTCCCTTTTCCCAATCACTGTTATTACTTGAGTGATAAAATTAGAAGCAAATTGATTACTCCTACAACTTGCTAAATCATTTAGCAAAACATGCTCCATTCATTCTTTAAAGTAAAACTTCCACAGGATTGAAAAGAAGCGGTTGATTTCCTTGACTTTTTAAAAAAAAGACTTGGCTCAATGCAACAAAGAAGCTAGCATTAAAGATCAATAGTAATGAAAGAAGCATACATAAACTATTTTTGTAACAAAAGGTTAAAGTGCAGTACCAACTATAAGTAGCTATGATTAATCGGATTTCCAAGATGGAAAATATGCACGGAAAAGAAACTCATCATTGGTGTATTCTTGACAAAATTTGCACTCTTTGTTATAATTTTATCAAAAGTATTAATAGACGTATCATTCTTAAACTAGTATTCTAGACTAAGTATAATTTGGTAGCTTTTAGTCTCAGTTAACAGTGTCATCACTTTTGTTACTGTGCTCAGAGAACTGTTCCGTGACAATCTTTGTAAGATTTTACACTTTTGTTGCTTACTTTGCAACACTGATAGCATCACAAGAATTATGATTACGATTCTGTTTATCCAAACAGCACCCTCAACTCATCTACTGCTCATCTGATATCACAGTTTGTAATCATAACTATGTTAAAAGAAAATTTGGAATTATTCCAGATTTCCAAATTTTATTTATCTTAGAATAAAAATTTAGGAATGACCTATCTGTTAATACCTTTATTGAAATCGTGTTCCATCGTGATCATGATTTCTCAAAACACTAAGGCTCATTAAATGGGAAAATCCTAAAGACATATTTATTAGCACACCAAAAAATGCAAAGACAGAATTAGAGGTTATTAAAAAAGTAAATTAAAAAACAATGAGAAAAAGGAATCACACCAAAATATTTACTACGGCAAAATATGAAAAGTTAGTGACGTGAATGATCTACATGATCTCAACAGTTGTCACAAACAAATATCTAACGAAACTTCTAGTAAGATATGACTGAGATTGACTACAGTAAACGGTTAGTACTCCAGATTGTAAGAAATACCGTATGCTCACATAATTTTGCTTCACATAGAAACCTGAAGAATCCTAAACAAAAAATCCTGACGCAATAAATAAAAGATTTGCAGTGAGAATACATTTCACACCAACACTACTAGCACTTTCGAGTGATGCAATCTCAGGTTAGGACATCACGCTTCACCACGTGCTTTGTTTCATTCCCTACTAGAACTATACTACTCAAAGACCCTAACTTTGCTGTGCAAGACAAGTTTTGAAAAAGTTTGCAGCAAATAAATCTGACAGACAAACAAATTTTTCAGTATTATTTCAGATATTTGATCCAAAAGCTTGGGAAAATCAGTTAACTAAACAGAGCAAAGAAAAGAAATGGAAAGTTCCCAATTCTACATACGCATCTGTTGAAAGAATACGGTATGATGCCATATTATGTTTAAAGATTAGTGCAAACGAATAACGCTTCGTTTTATCGACTTTTGAAGTCAATCAGTAAACGAATTGAGTATCTTTGCTATTAAGAATTACAATATCAAAAAAAAAAAAAATGCGTTAGATCTTACTGACAATTATAAATGGAGCAATTTGAAGATGATGAATTTCAGAAATCTCACACTTTATTTGACATGAGTAACCTGGCTTGAAAACAATACACGAATGTGAATATAAGTGAACAAATACGATATTAATTAAACAAATTAATATGAGACTGTACAAAAAAAAATTAACATGAGATGGGAGAAATGTATGGAAAATTGACATTTTCAAAAAACCAAGAATCATTATAGATAATGCGTTCAGAATTAAATTGAATTATCGCTTCTGCTGATCATGATTTGAACAATATTCAAAAAATATCATTTTTGATCCACTATATTAAGTTTGACAACACTCCGCAACACTACCTAAACCTTCTGCACTAGACATTCCTGAGGAGCCACCTCGTCCACTAGAGCTCGATCCAATTGAAAATCTTCGTTGCTGGTTACCGCTAGCATTTGATTCATCAGGGATTACTTTGTTCATCTCTGATAACAAACTGAAAAACTTCAAGACTATCAAATGCTACAAAAATCTTTGGATCAGAATTAACCCAGAAAGTCTTAAATTTCAGTGCATTCCGATGATGCATTTATAACTGATTATAAATAACTAAATTCCAAAGAACAGAATAGTGCATTGCATACGAAAGTTGTCATCGCAATGTATTTTTTAATTTCTAAAAATCTAAAAACCAACGCCTTTGCCTGATTGACATTAAAGGCAGATGCAGAACCCTCCAATAACGGTTTCATGTTTTCCATCTGAACTGAATCAGATTCATAAGCAGTAGAGTCAGAGAAACGAGTATGCCTCAATGGCGGAAAAGGAAACTTCGTACCACGTAACTTACCTAAAAGGTAGGGAAAAAAATAACAAAAAAATTTCAGTCTATTAAATTAATTGAAATTTACAGAATAATGTTTAAAAATCTTAATGCGTTCAGAACTAACTGATCAAGTTAAAGAACAATGTACAACATGAAAGTATTATTACAAAAGCAGTTACCTTTTCCAAATAAAATTGTTTTTGCGCTGTACACATTCACATATTGTGCTTTTGAAAGTTCAGCGTTGAATAGATTTTTCATACCATTCTTTTGACCAATAATCCCGGATTTCTTTGTGACTTCTGGACTATTATTTAATCGTCGTATCTTACAGAATATCGGTGACCCACTTTTTTCGCTGATATCTAAATCCAGTGGTGCTGATGCTGCCCCAGCTGACCACAACGGCGAGCCGATTGCACTATCAACTGATAGGGCGGCTGTGGTGTTCAAGCTACGCTCATTACTAAAATATCTAAAATATTTCAAATGACGTTCCTTGCATAAATTATGAACTTGGAATCAAAGGTTTATAAAAAAATGATAAGGATATCACTAGGCTTGAAATTTAAAATAATAGATCTTAAAAAGTAACAGTTTTCGATTAAGTGCGTGAGAGAAAAACTGCTGAAAATAAAAAAATAAAATATTGTATTGTTTGTTGTATCTTAATATTTTAATAAACTTCCACTTCAAAACGTACGACGTATCTGTTGCTGGGAGTGGAATTACAGGATATCGTCTAACAAATGCGCAATGCGCGTTAGGATTATTTTGCTTTTCGTACAATATAGTTTTTTCTTCTGGTAACAAAAGGTGACAATCATTATCAAACTCTGGATCAGAGTCGTGATCGATTACCGGCTAAACTAATTTATTTACAGAATCAGCTTCCAAATTTTAAAAAACCAGTAACAATAAGGAGCAATACTATATTTTAAAGAAGAAATATAAAATTCTGTATGATTCCTAATTAAAATTCAGTTAATTTTCCTAAAAAGAGTTACAGTTTTATGTGTTAAAATTTTAAAAACGCACGGTCGCATGATAGTAATTAAAAGATTTAGAATGCTTTAACGACAACTGACCGAAGGTTTCGTGACATTTCGAAATGCATTGAAACATAATTCACTCAAAACTTTAATACAACCTACTAGATTTTTCATGTGAACAGTCGCACTTCAGTTTGTTGAGTTCAGCATCAAAGCGTACAACAAATGAAAACGAAAGCCAGTCCTTTTAAGTCTACAGATAAGTGAGAAAAATCAAAAACATCGGCAACTTACTTCACTCGCACTTAACACAGGCTCTGATAGTGGCCTTACTTTTCTGCGCCCCGATGGACTCTCTAAAGATCGTAATGATGTAAGAGGAGGCAGTGGTGCAATATTCCTAACTTCACTTTCGTCACTTGACATAGACTGCACATCCAAATAATTCTGCAATCAAGATCATGGCTTAAATTACAGTAAATAATATAATATTTTATAAATTTCAAGTCAACTTCAAAAGTGCTGAGACAAGTAACCTCTTGATCACGAGCTGATTGAGTAAGCATCCAATCAAAATAATCTACTAAAGTGTCAAAACTCGGACGATTCTCAGGTTTCTCCTGAAATATGAAGTTAAAAATATTTATTTGCAAATCTAACGATTTATAAGAAATAATCTAAAAATGACTACCTGCCAACAAGCAACCATGACATCATACACTTCTTCTGGGCAATTATCTGGAGCTTCCATTCGATATCCTTCTTTTAAACACGAATACAGCTGTTGCATTGCAATTGATGGATAGGGCGTACCACCAAGAGTCATTATTTCCCAAAGCAGTATACCAAATGACCAGCTAAAAAAATATCAAACAATGCGATTCAGAAGAAATACTACAAATACTGCTATAAAATTAAAGCACAACAAAAGCACTGTACACATCGCTGTAGATTGTGTATACATGGGAATCCAATGCTTCTAATGCCATCCATTTAATTGGTAATCGTCCATTTCCTTTCTTTCGGTAATAATCATTATAACGTACATCGCGAGATAGACCGAAGTCAGATATTTTTAATATAAAACCGTCCGCAACTAGAACGTTTCTTGCAGCTAAATCACGATGAATTATCTGTAAATGAAAATATATAGTTTTATTGAATATTGTGTAGTTAGTTTCAGTTGTAACTCATCTTATGACTAATTCTAAAAAAGACCTTGCGATTAGCCATGAATTCCATTCCTTTAGCTACTTGCCAAGCAAACTGCACAAGATGCCGTTGCGTCAAATGTTTGATAAGCACTGGCTGGTCATGCGTTGATGCTATAGTTAATTTTCGCTGCAATCGCCTCGGTTCTAAATAATGATCGTTGCCAGCACAAGTTCCTGTTCCATTATTAAATGCTTCAGGAATTTGTGAAATGCCATCGATATCTCGGGGACGATGTGCTCTTAGAAAATCCCTAAAATACAAAGAATTATAAAGATGAAAAAAAACAACAACAAATTATCAAACATTTAAGTGTTCACGTTGTTTATAAATTCTACTGCGATGAAATTTCATTAGGCTAAACAACAACTATTATATTTTTGAAATTCCAAAACTCAGTATTTTAATTACCTTAAATTACCATGCTTGCATAACTCTACTATGACGTACAATGGCCCAGTACCAGTGCAACATCCAATCAAACGAAGCAAATTTTCATGATGACCAATTATTTTGAACGTTTCCATCTCACTAACCAAGTCAATTAACTCTTTTTCATGAGCTGATGCTTTCAGTTTCTTGACGGCTACCTGTAATGCCTCATTTAACAAAATATAAAGGTCTTTACAAAGCTATTAAGTATCACACGCATCACCAAATACCTCTTCCTCGTGTACTTCTTGGCTTAAAGATGATCGCGTTATTTTCAGCACTGCCTTCCAAACTTCCCCGAACGCCCCTTCTCCCAACATTTCCACAAAACGCAATCTTAAGAATTAATTATAAAATATGCTCGGAAGCTTAAAACAAATCATTTCAAGTTTAATGAATTGCAGATGGATTAAATAATAATAACCTCGATCGCTCCACTTCCCAAGCAGGATCCGGTGGAATTTCATAGTCTGACAAAAAAGTTAAATCACTCGAAAGTCTTGGTATTCTCGTCCCAGACATTGGAATTGGTTCCACATGAATTTGGTAAGTAGATGGCATATCAGACCAACCATCATTTTCTGGGTCCATTGGCTGCTTTGTAACGATAACCTAACAATTTATCATTATACATGTTTATATTTTTTGCGATTGAGGAATTCAGAAAAATTAGTAACTTGTTTGAAATCACGTTTGCTTCCTAGAGATAACATTGACAATGCAAAATTAACCAAAATAAATTACTCTTTTTTTGACTGGTCCAATGAATTGCTCCATTTCGGCTATTTGTGCCTTTGAATGCTTCCGAATGCAAAAAATGTAAAATAAAGTAGTGGACAGAGTCAAAGTAAGTAAGACAAACAAGACAATTACAGCCACAACGGATAGACGAGACCATTTCGTAGATGGATTAGCCGTTGCCAGCGTCATCGCATGAAACTCATTGACTGTTAACGTTGCATTTGCTATGGCCTGGAATCAATGGAGATGATTTTTATTAGTAAATTAATAACCAAATTACTACTTGATCCGAATTTTCCTTATTTTGAGCAAGTTTAAGAGTTTGAAAAAAACTTACATGGCCTAGATGGTTACCAGATACACATGCATACATTCCTTGATCGGCTAGAGTAACATTGACAATTGTTAGTGTTGATGAATCCTGAGATGTCTTCGTCACAATGGCATTCTACGACAACAGTAGTATTATATTTAAAAATTAAACTGATATAAAATTAGAAACAAGGAGTACTTGAACGAAATGTATCTCTTAGATATGCAAGAAACGTGGAGAATTTGCGTAAATTTAATGATTATTCGTGAACCTCAACTGATTGCATATCCGTGTATCGAAAAACATATTTACGATCCGTCTCATTCCAGTAATAAATGGAATCATTTGTCATTTCGATACGCATCCAAACAATATGTGGTGTTAGATCAGATATCACCTACAAAACAAAAACTCTTTGAAATCTGATCTTCACATACATAACTGGCTCACAAATTTTTGATGACTCCAATTTAATTTCTTGATTTTCAAGAAAATATTTTCCATTCCAATAAGGTTAACAGATTTGTTAAACTAGTTGTTCTTTCCTACCTTGCAAGTGAAATTAACGCTACTGTTAGCATCAACAGTTTGATTAACAAGAATATTAGGGACAATAATCGGTTTTGAACGCATTCGGTCAACAACTCGTAATTTAAAAGTTCGCGTGACTGAACCAGCCGAATTGAATGCCTACATCAAAAATGAATATACGTTTCTACGGTTTACATACAAAGGCTCCTGAATCAAAGCAGAAATAAATACAAATAAAATATTTTTTAAATAATGGAGAAGGAACAAACATCTTTACTACACGAATAAAAAAATTAAAAAAATGATACATCTACATTTTATAACTATAAAAAAAATATTAAGGAATTAATAAGATTTTTATATCACCATTTTCTTCATGTCAATTCTATAGTAACATAATAACATTGACAAGATAACAGTTTCAAAAAAATAAAAATAAACGACTAACCTCACAAGTGTAATCACCTGAATCTGATTCCGCAACGTCTTCTATCTCTAATGTATTTTTTCTCAAACGATACTCAGTCCCTACTGGTCTTCGGACTTCCGTAGTTATGACCTTTTTATTATTATTAAACCAAATAACCTAAAAGGTTCAGTAACATTATTTAATATATCGCGGCGAATACAATGTATCTTTAATATAATGCTATAAATGAAAAGAATTGCCTGTGGTTCTGGCTGTCCTCCAGCTTTACACTGCAGTTTAATAGTTCTTCCGGAAGGTGTGATAACTGAAGTATCTGCATCTTCATCACGTACTTTGAAGTATGGTGGTACTGAAGTTCATTTTTCCCGATGAAAGGAAATAAATTTGAGAATAAAGATGTAATTTTTGTTAATTACCGATAAAAAAGTTTGAATAGTAAAATAGAACTAAGCAGAACTTAAGAATCGTTACTAAAAATTGCCCCAGAAACGTAAATTTACGCTAAACTCACCAACAGTTTGTATGAAGAAATAAAATTGCTACTATTCAGAATGCTTATTCAATTACTGCTAGCGAAAACCTAATTATATTAGAGAAAACCTTTTTGAAGAGCAAAAACACGACGGGTAGTTGTGGAACGCGTTGAGAATGAATTTGTAACGTGCGAAAAAATCGTTTTAGTTGTAGCTGCTGTAAAAGTAGCAGTGACGGTAGCCTCAACTGGAATATAAGGTGCCTTCGGCGCAATATCAGGAGGATTTCTTTCAATATATGAATCTACTCGCGGTTGATCATGCATAAGCAAATCAATGGGAGACCTTCCCATCACTGTCTCATCAATTTCATTGGAGTGGTTATCCATAAAATGCATTAAAATGTCAGCTTCGTTTTCTTCAACATCAGTATTTTGAATATGATCAGCCGTGATATTTGCACTAATGTCAGGTATATCGTGTTGAAGAAGTGTTCGTGCCCGAAGACGTTTCTCAACATTATCTAAAGTACTCCAATCACTCAATGATGACTTAACGGATGCAAGTTTTTGCCGTGTTAACAAACTCGTTAGCAAATGACTCACATCCGCCCAATTATTTTCCACCAACCAGTCGAGTAACTTTACTGGGTCTGAAACTTGTACAAAAGATAAGGTTTCAGGATGCTGCATAAAAATCATGCTTACCAGATAAAAAAGTTCTTGCTAATGAACCAGCGATTTGCTGTTGTTGATCATGCATTACATTATTTGGCATGGCATCATGCAGCCCAATTCCTTGCAAAATTTCATGCGTGTCTGCTCCTGGTAATTCATTACCGCAAACACCATTTTCACAAATTTTCTTTCCTAAAGGTTTCCGAATTTTGTACGCATATTTTTTGAAAAGTTCACAACGATCATCATTGACTTCAGTCCAATTTATACCATCTTTCCGATACTCGCCCGTGAAGTACCACAGACAGATGCATTTCTCAGGAACATTTTGGGTGGGAAATTCATGCATGAGGAAATAATCACAAAAATCTGCAAAGAAAAAATCAAATACGTGCAAACAGCGGTTTTCAAATCCATGCACTGACTGCAATAACTAAAAAACATTTAATTCATCAATTAATCACTTATTATATGGCCATTTTAGAGATTATCTATAAAAATTTTGTTCTTCTATTTTACAAGCGCTAATATTTGATATTTACATCATGCAATTATAGTAAGTAGCTATTACAAATCAATAAAAAGTTTAATCGAAAAGAAAATTCCATACATGAACTACTTATTGATTTACTTTTATTCACTGCACTCTGTTTCTTTCTTTTAGATGGAAAAACTGTAGCACTGGTAGAAGCAGTTTTTCATGCAAGAAAAGATTTGCCTTATGAAATTAGCTGTTCACTCCATACCAACTGTTAGGGCTGTCAAAAATTATTCACAAATACAAACATAACACTCTATAACACTTACCAATTATTTCCAGTGTGAAATTACGAAATATAGATCCAGCTTGATTCCATACTTTACAAGCCCACGACCCCTAAGATATACAAACAATAAAAAATGTCATACAGTATTAGAAATGTAGTACCATCAGATGATGTGATTTTGAAAGTCTAACCTGGTCACTAACTTCGACTCTTTTTATCTCTAAAGAGAAATGTTTTTTGTTTTCACGTAAACGTTCGTTGGTAGCATAAGCTGAATGATCTAGAAATTTCCCATTTCGGAACCAGTGTATCTAAAAATTGATCTTTTTAGGAGGGAGAAACTACGGTGAAAACAAAAAAGCTATGCATTGTGCTTTAGTCAATAAACTCAATCAAAACATTTGCGCTGCGTAATCACTTCATTATTATGCATACTTAAACCATGGTTTTAATGACGATTGCATGATAATTTATGTAATAAAGCTTATAAATCCAAAATATTTTTCTAGTTTTATAGTACAGAAAATATAAGTCTTAAAAAAGTATAAAAAATAGCAATGAGTAAACCTTTGGCGCTGGTCTCGCCAAAGCAGTGCACTTGAATATGGCTTTATCATTGAGAAATACTTCATGAACAACTCGCTGATTCTGCTTGAATCTAGGCGGACCAGCTAAACCATTACACAACATGTAATAATAATTCGAGATGGGTAGAATTCATGCATCTCAAACATTCAGAAATAAATTATGCCTAGCTTACTGCTTACGTTGTTGCATAACTTAAAGCTAAATAATACTTTGTATTATCAAATATGACTTTGCATATCTACAGCTGATATGAGTGGAAAAGTTAAGAAATGTCCTGACACATTTTCACGTTTTGAGCTAATTAGAGAGAAGTTTGAGAGAATAAAATACTGTTTCCGATAGAAACGCGGAAAGTAGACAAATGGAACGGGATTATAATTAGCTCAATGAAACTGTCATTCAGAAAAAAAGTAAGAATGTCCTAAATTCTAGATAACTGCAGTAATAAATTAGTTGCTCAGCATAAAATGCTGCCCAACTTTTTACGTAACTTACCAGATGTCAATAAGATTAATGAAGCCGATGCAAACAGAATATAGAAAAAAAAGAAAAATGAGAAGTAATCTAGAACGGACCTAAGAAGATTTATTATATGGTCAACAGGACTTTTACTACCAAACTATAAGTGCGTTGAGGAAAACCATTCTACTATCTCATTTCCATTGTGACATGATGACAATCAAAATAAGCTTTTTATCCTAAAAAGAATCAAAAGACAAAAAATAAATAAAAAATAAACCAAATTATTTGCCATGAACTCTCAAGAATTTTTCAATACACTAAAATTTTGGCTTCCTACAACCTTAAAGAATAATAGACTCACTTTGAAGCCAAGGTCGTAATGCTTTGCCGCTGACGTGAGGGGATAAAATACTGTTTGCATTTGATGAAGTTAGTGTCCATGCAGTGGTCGCTAGTAATATGGTCAAACCAACGTATATTAGTACTGAGTGCATTTTGAAAACTTTCTTTTACATCCAAATTTGATCTAGATACATAGCTTTCTCCAAAATTAAAAACTGCTGACAGATGTATGCGACACAAAGGTGGCGCGTATTCTGATAAAAATTGGATATTACTGGCTCTGGAAATAGTGTTTTCTACATTATTCTCTAGCACAAATCTGGTAAATATTATATGTACGAAATACAGTTGATAATTAGGAATGAAACTACCGCAGAAATATCATGCATAACAATCCAATCTTTAGAAATCAACATTTCAATCTAGTACAGTTTGTCATTTTTATTTAAAATAATCAAAACTTAAATTAAGAAAGAATGTGTAGATAAATTGGATTTAGCAAGAGTCTCCTGCTTTATAACTCGCATAATTCACACCGGATATCATTTTATTATCAAATGAACAAAATAAATCCATGATTTCCTGAAATCACTTCCGGTTCAAGGTAAAATTCACGGTGGCTTAGTAAAGAAACCAAATTTCCTTGAACATTGAAAACATCACTGTGAAGAAGAATAAACAAATGCACAAATACTTCCATCACTTCTTTCTCTCATTCCAATGCACCGTTGTAATGTCACTTACAACATTTTTCAGTCTGTTCTTCATATGGTCAGCTACAATTTCATAGTTTCTTCCTGCTACTGTCTTTCCAACCAAAACATTCCGCTCACTATCAACTACCATAATGTTATGTGGAACTAGGCTATGACCAAATCTGTCGTCCGCCCCAAAGCAAAACAGTTGGTAGGCGAGAATAAACACAATTTGCAGCATAGTTGTAGCACTAGCATTAGCAAATAGATTCGCCCCTTACATATCATGAATTACACTCACAGAAAGTGAATAGAAACGAAGTTTATCTCAGAGTTGTATGCTCTTGACTCAACCAAAAAAACAATTAAATAATTCTAAAAATGAGTAAACAAAAGAAAATATCTGACCTCAACTTCGAATCGTAATAATTGGAGAGAAACCTTTTCGTAATTAAATCTTTTAATGAGATAAAGTGAGATATGGATTAATTGACAATATATGAAGCGATATGCAAGACAAGACTGTTTTCAAATTAATAATGCGTAAAAAATAATTGAGATGTTAATAATTTTAAACAAATTGCTAACACATCAGCTCAGAAGCAGTAGTAAAAAGAACTGCTTCTCAAATCCATTGAAATAATGGTTAGCAATCGCAACTTTTGAAGAAATGGGCTTCATGCATAGACAAAAATAGATGAGATAAATGAAAATTTAACAGTAGCCAAAAATAGTTACCATAAGCTATGAAGTATCAGTGGACAGTTGGCGATAATTGCAAACAAAAATAATTAATATGATGAGCAGAAGCGTGCTTGTAGTTTGCTTGGATGAAATTTCTGGAGCATAAGTGTTTGAACAAAGCTAACCCAAATAGTATTCAGTTTTGATGAAATCTTCACAGAAAGAAGAAAGGAAGGAGAAACACTGAGAGAGACCACTGAATGCTGAAACCTGTTTTTGTTTTAAAATCAACCAGACATTCCTTCTTTCGCGCATTCCTCTCCTAATGATGCCATTCAACACTACCGTATTTGTAATCAATTTTGGTTTCTCATATATGTCGTCTACATCGAACTAAACAGGTCTAAAACCATACTTCTTCATGATGTCTCCTTTGCCTTTTCTAACAATTTTGTTCTAAGAGAAAACCAAACAACTGTATCTTGATAAGAACTTCGTGACCGAATTGCACCCACAAAATTGTTGATGATGAAGTTGAAAACTGATAAATTGCCACGAAGTAGGTTATCTCTACAAGAACTGCAAACTTGACAAAATTTTGTTAATGCTGCTCAGTTTGTGGAACTTATTATTCTGTGCTAAACAATAAACCCTTCTTTTAACTTCACGGTTTTTTGGTAATAATTATCAGTTTTCAACCTTCTCATTTTTATAAGTAAATAAAACTATAAAAGTGGAAGCATTCAGCAAAAGTCTGTCTAAAACTTCAACAAAATTAGTCGGTCTATATACCGTCACATAATGAAAAAATCAAAATTATCAAGTTACCAATTTGTTTGTTATTCAATTACTACTAGAATTATATACAAATTACAGCAATTGCTAAGATTGAATACGGCAGTTATAATCATTTTTACAAAAACTGATAAAGAGTGACAAGGCAAAAGTGAGAAATAGGATGAGAAAGAACTATCGTAACAGGTATTTTGCATAACTAATTGAAATGTGAGGAGAACAGAAAAAAAAAGACGCGTAGTAACAATTATTACCTCAAGAATGCACCGAGCAAAATAAAAATTACAATTGTATATTGAGTGATAAGCATTTAATGATATAAGTAGATAGCAATGTACAACACACACTTGGACTTAGATCAGTCACAATAGTAGACAATGTGCACCACTAATTTGTTTCAGTGATATAGCATTGTTGAGGGTCACTACGGTAATGAGATAAAAAAACCTGAAAGAGCAGCAGCATGTGGCTGAGAAAAATACTGAAGAAAATCAGAAATACATCTGGGAAGAAATATTTTCTTGTTTTGTGTCATGAAGTGGCTCAAGTGTAGGAAAAATGATTGCAATGCCCTGCATGTTGTAATAATTGTGGGTATTAACAGTCACTGTAATCATTACTTAAAATGTTATCACTTTAATGTTTTACTATACTACCAATACATGACTTGAAGAATCTTCTTCATTTTTCAATATGTGTTAGAAAAAGTTAAAAGTTGACAATATTTTGCAAAATATATTATTTTGAAGAAATTGTTACACTTTATTTTTCTTTCGCCTCAAAGAATATTTATCACGAACATGTGAGGTGAGAGATCAGCACATTAATGTCACCAACTTATTAACGCTTTTTATAGAAGTGCATAACTCTGCGGTAATTAAAAAGCTAAAACATAGAATTTGCTCAAACTTTGAAAAACCAAATTGGAAAGACAAGGAAGAGCAATCAGAGAACATACCTTTAAAAAATTCTAGCGTTCACGCATATGCATTGAACAAGCAGTAACATCGTTCATCACCAATAAGGATTGGCTGTCAAGCATTCAGCTTCTTACAACCTACTAAACTCCAAGAAGCTATGATTACATTTATTAAAGTTGTGAAAAAAATAATTTCAAACTCTTAGCATCAAAATATGTGCTATATATAAAGTCAGTAGTCGAAAATATCACGAGACAAAGTTGAAGAATTTTAAAGGAAAAAGTCAAAAATGTAGGTGAAACAAATACTTTTTCACAAACGATAAAATGCTAAATTACTCAAAACAGCTTTCATATCAAGAATAAGACTTTGCGAAAGACAGTGATGATAACGGTGTTCAATAAAATCAACATTTCTGTCAGAATAACAAATTGCTATTAATTCGTAATTAAAAAATTACTTTCTTGTGCTACTCTTTCTTTGCAAATCAGTGCTTTTTTGCTGAAAGAAAAATTTTTACCATATATGAATGGATAATATACTGCTATAAAGAATATAGATTAGATTAAGCACTAGATAAATGGAACAATCACTCATCAGAAATGAAAATGTTGCATCAAAAAAATTAATGATAGTTGAAAAGTAAAAAGAAAATGATGTAAGACAGCGTAAAAAAATTGTAAAGGAAATAGCATACTGAGACACAGCTGGACTACAAGAATTTTAAAGATAAAGTTACAAAAGTTTATTATCAAAAACACTGATGACAAGTGAAGCGTTGAATTAGAGTAACATAATAATATTTTAAATGCATATTGCTATATTTCATTTATTCATCTCAATATTTGAACAGTCAGTCTATCGGATAAAGTTTGACCAGAATTACCACAAATTGTTTAGTATGTATAGAAGAAGCTCGAAGATAAGCATCGCAAGTATGACCAAAATTGAAGCATTACGAAAAGCTTAGAAAGAAGAATTTTTCTCACTCACAGCTGCAATTAATATCTCTTTCTGATCAAAATGATAGATGCTTGCCTTGTCGACTATCAGTTTTCTTAATTTCACTCTCACACCTCCTCTTTGTTCTGAGAGAATTTTGCTGAATTCAATTAAAGGAACAGTGACTGTTTAATCAATACCAGAAGGCAGTCTGTGGAATTCATCTGACAGAAAAAACTAAATGACTGTTTGTTTTTCATTTACATAATCTGCGTACACAAATTGTTTGTTGAAATTTTTGAAATAAGCCAGTCGAAGAATGTTTTTACAGGCTTTTTGTAAGGAAATCTAACCATGCAAAATTCATTCTTCAAAAACTTCTTAGAGCATTTTTGATACTCGTTTCCATATCTTTCAAATCTGCTTTAAATTTTAATTGCTATGTTAATTACACCTCGGTCGCGATAATTGGCTTTTGATTTTATCGCCCAAAGTATAAAAATATCAGATAATTATTTAATAGCAGGCTCACAGTATTTGAAGTTATAAAATTAGAAACTTTTTATTCATATCTGATTTACTGATTTATACTTTTTCCCTTTAGTTCACATGAGGGAATCTATGGTACTCTAACTGTTTTAGATTTTGGATAAAATACTTGTTGTTTTTGACAAAACGAAATGAATAGCAATGATTTCTGGAAACTACCAATAGTTAGTTAAAGCACTAACATTTGCACAGGAGAAGATATGGTAGAAATATAAGCAGCAGCTGTACACAATCTATTATTGAATAATCTGAGTGATTTTTGAAAATGCAAATTATGTAAGATATATAAATAGGAAATAAGTCAGTGATTTATTCAAAACGAATCTTTAAAGAAGTAAAACTGGCTGCCATTCGCTGTCGTCTCTACATTATTTGTAAGGAAAAAGTATGCAGTTTTGTCGTTATTACAGTCATAATCTGCGAAGCCCGGAAATAATTATCAATGTGGACCAGATGTGGTAAAGATATTGGTGATGACTGTTTCCTTGTGCGCAAACCTTTCCACCAATGTTTTAGCGCTACTTAATAATAAGTTTTCACATAAACAAAGACTTCAGTCTGAAGAACTTCATAATAAAAAGGTTTTAAATTCGTGTCTATCTGCAGAACTTCGGTAACATTCAATGTCCAAAATTACTTATGTCAGAATAGTCGATTCGTTATTCACCCATAGTAATATATTCACATACCCTTAATAATAACTAGATTTTGTTGGCTCTGTTATCTTTACCACATAAATTATGATTTAAATTGATTTGAATAAATCATGACTCCCTACGATCTGTAAATTCTGTGAACACCTTCGCATATTTCTGTTGAATAGTAACTGATAACAAAAACAAGCTAGTTATGTGGTTGAAGAGCTAAAAATTTCTGGAATCAGCGCTAGAATTGTCGTGTTTGTGCATGTCTCTTGTTCTCGAAGTCATACAAAGAGTAGGAGTGAATATAAATCACAATGACACTATTTATTCAGAGGATAACATTAATGAACAACCAATTATCAATAATTTGATTTGCGCGTTAAGTGTATTATCAACAGGGACTCATACGCAAACATTTACGTTAAAACTAAAATCAAAACAGGCAAATATTGATAAAACTGATAAAACAAAGTATTTCAGACAACCTTAATCATCCGATTGCGACTTCAAAAGAGAAAGCAGAAGTTGTTTCCTTCACACCGTTCGATCAACTTTGGGCCAAACTTTCATGCAAAATCAGTAACAAAATACCGACGTTCAGAATAACTTTTTGAGCAAAATTTTTTTTATCGCCTTGTTCATCATAATAGATAACTTGGAGCACTGCTGAATCATTTTGGATTTTCGATTATGACACATAAATAATAAACACCAACAATTAGATTATAACATAAAACCTATGATTGTAAAATGAGGCTATGAAAGGCAAGGATATTATTGTATTTCAATTGCATTTATCATCATTATTCATAATTTGTTAATTGAATATAGTTGTAAGATGAATCATAATCAATAAAGTATTATTATCAATTCATTGTAAATAAATAAAAAATTTGATTGATACATCTGTCACTCTTTGCAGTGCAAATAGAGAAACGAATAGACTTTATCTTAAGCAGTACCTAATCTAACAGAGGTGAGAAATGTAAGAAAGTGATTTTCTCTTTCTCATTCTAAAAATAAGAAGTATTTAAATTCTGACCTCCTAACCCCCCGCCTCCCCACATTTCAACAGAGTAAATGATCTAAGTTGGAGAAAGAAGATAACTGGACATATGCCTAAATAAATTATAAAATGTAACCTAAACTAATTTCAGTAAAAGTCTATGAATGCATGAAAACATTTAAATAAGGAAGAAATTTTTAGTAACATTCTATTGTTAAATCTTTTGACATGATCACCTACTGAAATCTTCCGTATTTTAATATACCAAAATACAATTGCTAAAGACAGATAGATGACAGTAAGAAAGATTCATGTATTATTAACATTTTTCCAAAGAGTTTCTGAAATAGAGTTGAAATAATTGATAATATTTGTTATTCCTGAGCTGGTAAAGCAAGCTGCAGTGGTCATAACATGAGTGATGGTATATTTTAGAAGTATGTATATTTTAGAAGCGGTGGAACTAGCATGAAAGTGGATCACACGTTTATGTTGATTTAATATCAACTGTAAAATTAATTTAATTTTACAAAATAAGTTAGTTTTAAAACAAAGAGGTAATAATTTGGTAAGATTTCAGTGATTTGATAAATTTTATATTTTCACTTCCTCTTGAAAATTGTTTGTTTCTCATCCAATGGCTCCTTTATGCATCAAGAACTCAAGCAATGTTTCAATTTCAACATTTATATTGGCAGTGGCACGGCGAATACGTTGGGCAATTTCATTTGTTTCACCATCATCAAACGATCGACCACAAAAGGATGCTACCATTGCTTGAGCGTGGGTATCATCACTTCAAAATATACCACTCACGTAGTTTCTTTTTGTTAATTTAGAAATGATTTCTTAACTGCTCTATGTAAATTACTTTACGCAGGTTATAATGATCTTTTTGAGCTTCCTAGAGTACAAAACAGTACAAACACATAATGCAGATTTTAATTTACAAAAATATTTGAATATGAGTTATAAATTCCATTCTGAGACTCATAACCAATTTTGAAATAATTTTTATAAATTAAAACTCCAGATCGTGAAATGATTGTTAACCTGGCGACAGATATATTGCTCCCATTTTTGCTCTTATCTGAATGTCTTAATAATAACTTGTCGCGCAATTCGAGCATATCGATAAAGCTGCGTCGTTTGCTAGGTGTTGAACGAATTTTATGCGGAGTTGCGGTGAGATCCAACTGAAAATTCATGAAATAAATGCACAAGAGAGATTTCAAAAGTATTCCTAATTTTTGCTCTGGATGAATTTCAAATCTTTCAAAAGATATGGAATCTCTATCAAGTATTTTTAGCCCATGCAGTCTTTTAAGGTCATCAAAAACATAGAACTATAGTTAGAATGCAAGCAGTACTTGTTTTAATGCATCGTTTAACTCTCCACACTTTGCTCGTATTTCAGAGTAGTGCATAATAGTGTTCTTTACGATTTCATGTATTTCAGCCACCCAAAACTTCATTGACAAACCAAGAGCGCGTCTACACTCATTGATAAATGACTGAGATTGTGCGACTGCCTTATCGAGATTGTGATTGTTCCACAGCTTAATTTAGTCTAATTTTTCTACATTGTCGGACATAGGGCTTGATTTTCTACAAATGTAATATGGAAAATCTCGTCTTGTGCTCATTGATAAATGTGAGTTTTAATAAATTTCTTCAATGCAGGTTTAATAAAACCAATTAAACAACCAACTTGAAGGTATTCTCCTTTATGGTCCGCATGTGGAGTCCAATCCATTACTGCAGACCAGTCTTTTAATAATAAAGGTTCGACCTAAATTATTGCTCAAATACTTCAATCTAATATAAATGTGAAATATACAGAAATATTAAGGTGGGACATGTTAGCTAATTATTTTTGATGTTTTAGCAGTAGCAAAAAATGGATTGATTCTTAAATATATACCATATAACACTAAATGCGAATTACAGAAATAAATTTTAAAGAAATATCAAGATAAGCAAACCTTAATGCCAGCTTGAAGCATACAGAGAATACCCTGCTTGGTATAAAGATCGCCACGGTTTAAATGTGGATATAAGAATTTGACCGTCATTTTAACATCAACTTTACTAAGTTCTTTACGAATTTTGGATAGCAATAATCCAAGCAGTTTTGCACAAGCCTTATTGCTTCTACATTCATCCACTACTTCACATTTTGGATCACAGTCTTGATGAAAACATGGACTCTTCGACACATAAATCACAGCCTCGAACAAATCTACCTGGATCGTTACATCATTCAAATACAGATCATCCATCAAGTACTAATGAGTGAGAAATAACTTGATGTTTCTTTCATGATAAAAAAAATTCCTTAAAATGCAAAAATTTTACCATTGTTTATCTAAATACCTTTAAAAGATGAAAAAAATGTGGCTAGACCTTATATTTTGAAATAAGATCATATATGGCAGCGGCAAGTTGCTCTTCTACGTGCAATTCACTTCGACTTTCGTGATAGAAATCACCTCGGTAAACGTAATCATGACCAATAAGGGTAACAATTAATCCACTACTTTCATTTTTGTGCTCCAGAAAGCAGTTTTGGACATGCTTTGGCACATGAAATTTTGATGACCCATTCGTGCAATCACCATTACACTTACAGCTATAATAATTATTTATTTTTATTTAGAAAATTATTTTGTTTGATACAAATCACAAAAATATGGAAGAAGAAAGTACAAGACATACTTGCTGCTGCAAAATTCATACATTGAACGACATAAGCATTCTTTTTTGATGCACTGCTTCTTACTTTTGCTGCATTGACAACCTTGCGTTGACTTCGCGCTCTAAAATTAATGCATTACCACAATAGCCTAAAGAAAATCAACGATAACTATAAATTTGATCAAAAATAATATTTCCTAAATTATTAATGTGAAAGATCATTTATGATCTTAGCAAAATTTGATGATCACATGAAGAGCATAGATATTATGGTAAATATACTTTGAGGAGTTTTTTTTGCGGCTCTTTGTTCTTGCATATTTGTTTACAAGCACAAAGTTTGCTACACGGTTCCTTGATCCGTAAGCAGTCACACCTTTCTGGTTTAGAACATGCATTTTTCGCCGGTTTTGTTGGGTCAACTTCACATGAACATTTGCATATCGCTTGGTTAAGGCAGTCACCGCGATATCTACATCCACAAAGATATATTATAAAAATTTACTTTCTGATAGTTTAAGTATAACTTATGAATTACATTGACAGAATTACTGAACACTCAATTTTTTTTTGAATAAAAGTTTTTTTTTTTTTTGCTGCACAATAATATAGGATTATTTTTTAACTTATATTTGGTATAACAAAAGCAGAACTTTCAGCATGTCTGTTTAAACCTAAAACAAAAGTAGTTCGTATTTCAAAAATAAACAGTTTATCAGTAAGCACTGAAAAGCATTCTTTGAGTACAAACTCAAAATGTCAAATATGTTCATTTACTTATTATAGTACAAAATGATGATTGTAAGTGCGGTATGAGCAATTAGTATTATCTGTGAAATTAATATTAGCTTATCCACGTGTTTTGCAGCATTTAGAAGAAATTAGATTAGTGAATTTTTAAATACATAATATATTTGCATTTATTCAGTGAGTACCTACTTTTTACAGTAAAAATTTATTATTTTTCAGAAGAAAATTTGTATTGTTTGAATTTTACGTTTACAATAATTTATAAAGAGTAATGTTCACTATTTTTAAAAGCTAATTTTAATTTTTATGGAGCAGATAAGTTATCACTAAAAAGCTTAACTCGAGCTATATAGTAACTGAATTTATTCATTGTACTGTAATTACATATTTTTAAAGCACACTAAGCTACACATTAAATTCTCACTGTTTTCATTGATTCAATTCATACATCAAAATTAAATTGGACAATCAATGCAATGCTAAGCTTTATAAAATAATTGAATCATTACCAGCAGAATGTTTAATGCTTTTTCAATTACTTATCTACCGTAAACTACAAACTAAACTTGTATTAAAATAAATGGCGTTAAAATACTGCATAGTTTTTTTTAATAACTAAAGCCTATAATTTTCCATATTTTTCATTTGAGAGCAAATAAAAATATAATTCAGACAAAACAACAGAAAATGAAATGAAACCTTGCTGATTCACAGTGCTCATCACAAATACGTCTTGCTGCGGAACACGGGCAGGAATCCGAAGAACAACGGTTTTGTGACGTTGGACATTCACAACAGAAGTGCGAGGAAGCGGCTGGTTTGCTCATGATGAAAACCGCCTCTGTCAAGCTTATGCTCTAGATCGATACTTCAAATCTAAAGAACGATGCTTGAAATCGTTAAATCGCCACTCTTACTCAAAAATTAAATACATTTCAAGTACCAATTGCTGTCTTCTCGAACTAAAGCTATAGCCATAATGTGTCAGACGTATGTGTGCATTTGCTGGCCACATTCAGCATTCTAATCGTTGGTCCTCATTAGCGCTTTATTTTTCTTCCTTAAAGTAACGAGATGCAAGTGTATGCAAGTGTGTATGTGTGCATGCATGTATGCGTGAGGGTGTGTGCTGAAGTTTTGAATAGTGTCAAGAATTTGTTGAAAAGATCTTCGCTTAGTTTTCAGACAGATGCTACTTCGTTTCTCATGATTGACTAGATCTAAAATTGTATCAAGCATGAAAATTTTTCTTCTGAATAAAGTATTCTTGTTGTTATGAAAAAAGATTAAATAAACACATCTCTAACGTGTTAAATTACACAATTTCCATTTTTAAAAAAATGCTATTTAACGTAGTCTTGTTTCAATCTGTCAAGTTGTACAGGATTTATATGATCTCCTAGCATTCACTCAATAAAATTCGTACTGTATAATTGATTCATCCATAAATTAATAAATAAATAAGTAAATTAATTTTTAAACTATTTTACACTCTTTAATATTTGCATACCTTAACACTAAGATGACTTGGATAGCTGTAGAAGCGCTCCTTTCAAATATTTAAGTTTTGTTGTTCTGGCATACTCAAAATTTACAATTTCTTATCATTATTCAATTCAATATTATTGCATATTAAAAGAAATCAACTGCAGCCATTCTTTTAACATTAAAGATACTGTTGATATTAATAAAAGACGCATGATGCAAAAAAAATAATGGAAGTACAAAGCTTATAGTTGATTCGAGCAGTTGCAGCAGAATAAACATATTTTGCTTTTGTAATAACTCAAAGTTTAGAAAAATCTTTTCTTAAAGCAGAAAATTTATGAATTAAAAGTAAAATTTTGAAAAAAAAGTGTCTTCATCCCTTTAATTATTTAAATTTGGAAATATTTATTTCCTGGAAAGAATTTCATTTTTTTACAAAACAAATTTATTAAGATGGCGCTGGTTTTTCGCTTTTCACAATTCAAAAATATTGTGAAAGAAAATTACAAATGAACATTACTGATTAAAAATTAAAACTTTTTAGAATTTGGTACGATTATTTTTTTCAAATAGGAAAAGCAAATTCAATCTTTAAAGACATTTTTTGCTAAAGTACTCATTAACATACTCAGATGTCGTTTAAATATAACTGATAACATTTGAATACATTGCGCAGATTTGAATACATTGGGTGATTACACAAAAAGGACAATATGATAGTTGCCATTTTGATTACAATGCATGCATTTGCTGCAAAGAGAGCAGTTATTGCCAAGGAAGTATTATCATTAGAATAGAGTCAAAATTATTGAAAATCTTTAGCTAATCTTAAAACATGAAATTTAATTATTCTTTTCATACTACGAATGCTTAGCATTCTCATAAAACTTTACTGCAACGAAACTAAATCAGCCAATAATTTATGGTTGAATTAAATGAGTAGTAGGTTACTAGCTGAAAATCTCATCTCTGACATCCTGGCTCATGTTCATATCATTTAGGATATTGGAAGAAAATGACCACAAAAGATAAATAAAAATGAAAAGAAAGACAAAATTCAAATTATATTAATAAAAAATTTACAAAATCAATTTTTTTGGAACTGAATTAGGATTTAAAAAATGCTCATTCTTTGTAAAACACAAAAAATATATACTTTTGTTGGTAATTTTTATATTTATTTATTTCTCGCTTTTAGAAAACTACAGCACCAACAAATACTAAGAAATGAATTTGATTACTATTTCTTAATTATTCTCCGCTAAAATTATAAATAGTTCCACAAAATTTTTTCGCAGAAAATAAACATTCAACACTTATAGTTCATCATTATTTATTTATATCTTAAGTTTTTGTAACATTAGATGGATGATTAAATCTGAAAGATAAATAAATTCAATGTTTGATAATTCTTAAGAAGACATCAATATTTTCCAAGCAAATATGGTAATGGAAGACGAAACTTTGAAAGCCATAAAGCTACAAAATGTGCATTAAGTAAAAGAAATAATGCTATAAAAAATGAAGCAGTAGTAATTTTTGTTTCAAGTTTTTCAAATTAACCAATTAACCATATATGATTTCACTTTAATGACTTTCGACAGCATCGTGAAATAGGTTCCTTAATAAAATATAGAAGTATGTAAAATATTTATTGCTTCTTTGTACTGTTAAAACAAACAGTACAAGATTCATTCTAGCAAAAGATTAATATGAATGATTGTCAATTATTATAATAAGAGGACTTTTTAGATGATTGAACGCAACAAAAAAAATGCATCTTGCACCTAGCACCATTACTGTTCTTTGCAAGGAGAATAGAAAATTAAAATTTTCATTTCTATTACATAGCTAATATTACATAGCTTTTATTTTCTTTAGTATTTACATATCTTATTCTTGTTTAATTGCATTCTGCCTCATATCTTATGACATTATTAATCAACTATTTATGTATGGATTTCCGGGGCAATTTTCAGTTCTCAGATAATACAAAATTAGATTTATTCATTATTGAATCAAGAGAGTTGAATTCTCTGCTAAATATCACTTATTTCAACTACAACTTTGCACTGGACATTTTGCGCTATGCTTACATACTGCATTGCGCTTATCACTCTAAGCATGATAGCAATGCTAATGTATTGTCAGTGGAGAGACGAAAAAGTGACACGATAGCATTTATCTGGGCCGTGTTAAATGTAAATTCGTGTTATTAGTGCATGAAAATAAGTGCTTGCATAATACTGTGTGGGTGCTACTTACTTAATGTTAGTGTGGATGTGAGTCAGTGAGTTCTGTGTGGTAAGGGGTACTTGATATCTGAGTATTAATAGTTGGAATTAGGAATAAGTTTGCAGTAGATCTCATTTGTGCAGTATTGGAATTGCAATATTGTGCATTACTAATATGGCACTATCGAATTCCGAGAAGTATGATGAAGATGTATTTGAAATTGAAGACTTTACTATTGTAACAATCAAAGAAGGTTTATGTGCTGAATTGGAACAGTTATTACGTAAATGGGAGCTTGTTGGCGACATTGGCAACAACTATTCTTTTACAAAGGTTTGGAACGATCGCTTACTTTTTGTGCTTTAGATTTCTTCCTGACTTTAAGTGCATGTTGCAGACATCATTAGCGGAATGTCAGTGGGATTCAAAGTATCAAGAGATCACGTATGGCAACAATCATTTACTTGTTACTCATTATTGGCCAAAAAATTTAAAGAAATTGGAGCAAACAGAAAAACCAGATGAAAGCACTGAAAATTACTTGGACTCATTCTTATGTAATGCTGCACGATTAGTTTATTCTTCGGAAACAGATTTTTGCCCAGGATCAATTATATGTAATCAGGTATGTTTCATTGTATTTAATAAAAATGAATTTCAAGTATCAGATTATTGTTGGCATTGCTACTGTGGTTACAGTTTGGAGTACTCGAATTTATCATATTGACTCCATCTAATTGGCTTGTGGATAAAGTGTCAAATGAAGATCAGCTACGAGGTTTGCTATCAGTAATTACGGAAGCGACTGGAAAAGCTGATTGGTATACTAAATAACATATTATTTAGTCTTCATTTTTCATTATTATAATTGTTATGAGAAAATTAATTTTGCAACTCTATTTATGAATTTTTCACTTCAGTAACTAGGATACAAATACTGTCGTCATTCCACTTTTTATTGTAGAAGTTTGTAGTTTCAAATTAATTTGGGTCATAAAATTTCGAAGCTATATCGAGTCAAATGTTTTTAGTGCTTTGCCTATATTTGTACAGTACGGCGAAAGTGAACGACAGTTATATTTTGGTGTATGTCAAAATAATTCAATGCGGACTAATTTTGAGTCAGTTCACCTCCGTCAAGGTCATCCATTGAGATGCCATTTGTCTGGGTGTATAGATATCTTTAAGGAAACTTTGGTATATATTTTTAGACTTGTTTGTGGGATAATTAGTAGAGTACTCTATAAAGTTGTTGCATAATCACCATGTCTTATGTTGTTCTGTACTAGTTGTTGCTTTAGAATTCTTCTTTGATGGATGACAGGAATTTGCGTTCATCGGTCCAGTTTGATTATGTACTACAGGTAAGCATTTTAAACCATTGTTTTCTCTATTTATGGCTTAAAATCTAGTTCTTGATTTTCAGATATTATAAATATGAAGTCTGATGGTGTTATATCGTTGGTTCTGTTTTAAGGACAAATTTCACCATGGAAACGTCGATAAAAAGATTTCATTAGAAGAAATGGCCCCTGCTGAAGACGTAGGCATTGTTGATACTTCTCATCTTCCTTTTGGTGCTGCTTCTGATGCTATTGAGTAAGTTATTCAAGTTCAGCTTTGATTATTTACAAAAAAAATGTGATTTGTACATCATTTTGAAGTGATAGCCTTCCGATTATTTTTCAGAGAATTTGGCCTGTCAGCCATTTGGTTGAACGTCGAGAGGGGAGTTGTTATAGAGGAACAAAATGTCTCGAACTTGGATCCTCGAGGAGCCTTGTCGTGGAGTTCATGGGTTTTAATACGAAAAACAACAACATATTTAATGAGTAAGTCGTAATTTTTTTTCCAAATTGTTGAATAGGTTGGTAGTTGTTAAGGATGTAACAGAATGTTAAGCACAAGCTTTTATTTTGCATTCTCTTATATAAAGGCAATGTTATTATCAAGTTATAACTAAAATTTTGTTAAGGTTCCTGCTTAAGAAAATTATTGGAAATAGCTCAATCCGAAGAAGGGTCAGGTTTGATCATGAAAGTATCCGAACATACTAATCAGGACGCTACTAGGGCGTTATCTTCGTTGTTATTTCCAGCAACACCACAAAGTATCTCAATTGAAAGTACGAAACGTATGCCGAGCCAAGTTCAACTAAAATCAGTAAGCATACGTTCTGTCCTTAGAAGTTGCGAAATATTTGCCTTTAACTAATAAATACGAATATTTTTCAGGATGTTATCCAACAATTGCTTGATATGGTCTTTAAAAACACTCAACAAATTTCAATGAGCAAAGACATGCCATCACATAATGAATTCTTCGATTTAACTTATTCTGAAGAAAAAAGACCGACTTCTGCACCAGGTGGTGCTGTTAAAAATGAATCAAAACTAAGTGATAAGTGTATTATGGAGGATGAAGACACTAAAGATATATATCAGAAACTTCATGTAAGTATTCGTGTTTTGTGCACGTAACAAACAGTTTTGTATTGTGTTAACGTGAACGTAAGATCATTTTATTCAGAAGTTATGTTGATAGAACTTTCATGGTTCTAGGTGACTTATACATTTGCGTTCTCTTCTTTCCAGAATTCATATGAGCTAATCTTTAATATATTGTGGTTTTTTTCAAGGATATGTTAATGACATGTAAGGCAGCTCCAGAAGGCAGCTTAACTTGTCGAATCTCTATTGCACTTGCTAAAATGTTATCTGTTCAAAACTATGCACCTACCAATTTTCCTCAGATATGGTCAGCTATAACACGTGAATTGCAGAATTATTATGATGCAAATTTGCCTGTTCCTGGGTGTGTGTTTTTTTTAAAATACTATTTTAAAACTTGTTTCTTATGAGTATACCGTTTTGGGTGTAAAACAATGCAGTATTACAGGATAGATGAGTCATCACTTCCGAATTTATCAACTTGTAAATTGCATCAGAATTTTCAACTTCTGCAATGCGCAATAGAGGCTAAAAAAGGATGGGAGTCAAGGAACCAAGTACGGAGGGAGGAATGTAATAGGTTCGGTTAGTCTTTAAGTTTTTCCATCTTTCCATTGTGAAAAAAATTTTTTGGTACAGTTCTTAAAAGCGTTTCAAATCTGAATTAGTTCGTCTGTTCAGAGTCAGATAAGTTAAATGTTTCCAATGTAGGCATTGTAAAAGATGATGAATTTTTTGATGCGCCTGAATTTTTCGACAAAAACGACTCGAAAAATTTGGAAAGTCCTGATTCTTGGATATCTCAAGGACGCTTAAGACCTTTTGGCGAAATGAAACTTTTGAATTTCCCTGACAGAATTATGTATGAACCTATCACACAGGTTTGATGTTTCAACTTCTTTTAAATATTTTATATTAAATATTTCGTTTCTTTTTTTACTGTTAATTTTTAGAGCCGTATGCCTGTGACCGAAGACATGCTTGACAAGTACACGGAATATTTGTCATCATTGAAAGATCAAGAAGAACGGGTTAAAGCTCAGTTGGAGCCACTGTTTTCAGATATGGAGGCTTTCAAAGTGAGTACTATATATAGCTTCAAACTAAAATCTTTTAGTCATATTGTTAGAGTGATCTCTAGTACCGTAATGAGCAAAGTAATGAAAACTTTTTAAAAACTAAATTTTTAGCTACGTAGGAAGTATCTAAACATATTCATTATAGGCTGCTAATCCCGGTTGTTCTTTCGAAGATTTTGTGAGATGGCACTCTCCTCGTGATTTTGTGGTAGATGGAAGTACTGGCAGATGTAAGCTTTCAATTTTTTATTTCATAATAATTTGATTTCTTATGGTAGTCAAATCAGTCTCATATTGTACTTTGTAGACCATTTATCGCATCGCATGATTGGTGATGATAATACATGGCAACAAACGTGGAACCAAGCACAACCAAAACCTGTCTGTCGCCAGAAAATGCTATTTAACTATTCTAAAGCAGCTAATGAAGTAAAATTCTCATGTATATTTCAGGAAACAGACGCAAAGACTTTCTTAATTTGAGCTGTCACATTTTTTTTAAAGTCATTTAATCCTCTTTTAATCATCACTTTTCAGATCATTAATGATTTTGAAAGTCTTACTTTATCAAAATTAATCATTTATATCTTACCAGTTTTGGTGAAGTCTGCTTCTATGCAACTAATAGAAGAATGTAAGTTTTTCAAGGCTTATTTTGCTTTTAATAGCTTACAAATGAAAATTTGGACCAGATTTGTTGTGTGTATTAATAATACTTTCTTAGTATTATTTTTTTGTTATTTTTATAATATATGATGAAACAGGGGCACTATGGGTTCACTTTCATCTAGTTATTAGTTTCACGATATCAAGATTTGCAGCCAAATATTACTTTGCTCTTGTCGGAGATAAGCTGTTCGCTTTATGCAGAAAAGTGCTGGATTGTACGATAAATGGAAGTATTGAAAACTACTGGAGTGTTGTGAAAGATGTAACAGAGATTGAGAAACTGGTATCCTGTTGCAATATACTCTATACGCAGTTGATTTTTGCAGTTGACAAGAAGGTTATGTTGCTTGTTCTGTTTGATGAGTTTTATTTTTCAAAAAGTTTGTACAGAGACAAATTCTTTGCTATAAGAATCGTAGACTCAGTTTTATTATTCTTTATTTTGTGTGATTAATAGTATAACTTTTATGTTTTACGTAACTTAAATCCATGTTTTTTCAAAACATTTCGATCATAATCTCATTTCACGATGTTTCCTCTACGTCTAATCGTTAGTTTCTTTTTGCTGGAAATTGACTTTCTTGTCTTTGAATATTACGAAACTTATGTGGTTCGGGCATGGGTAGCGTTTCTATTTGACTAAGTTATCTGAAACCTGAGTCATTGATTGATGTATTCGACTTATAGACCTTATTTTCAGTTGACAGAAAATGAGAAATATGAAATACGTCAATTTATAATGTCTCTCATGCGACTAAGTGAGCTGGATTGTGAAAGTATGACTAGTGGTGGGAAAGCTGGTGCAGGCTATCGAATACCAGTTAATGGCGGTTTATGTGGACCAGTAGGCCTAGCTCTAAAAAATCTCTTCTTTGGTTCTCGATCTCAGAGTTTTGAAGGGTAATTTTTTTCCTCATTGTTTCAACTGTTAATATCTGTTAATATCTTTTAGTTAATAGTGATTTAGAGCTTTATGTTTCTTGCGTTTTTTTTTTCTTTTTTTTTCGATTATGGATTAATATCAAATTTATTTTGAGTATCACTGACATTATGTAGGATGTACTTTTGTTGCAGAAATACTGCAATAATTTTATAGAACAGGAAAGAGAACTTTTGAGCAAATTCTCAGTGGCGATGAAGAAGTGCCATATCGGAGGTAAACTTTTTCAAAGGTTCTACATACGCAATAAGTGAGTTATCAGTTATAGAAATCAGTTTGGTTTATCAAATTCACTGATGCCTTGTTTCGATTCAGATTTTCTCGAAGAATGTAAAATTATTTTAAGAAGGCAATATACTATAAGATGCTCTGCTCGCAAGCCGACGTTAGGTTCACGAACATTGCCACAAAGACTCTATGCTGCAATTTCAAGAGAAGAATACAGGATTTGTTTGGCACTATCAAGTGATACTGTCTTGTCATAACGATAATGATTTTTTAATTTGAAGCATTTTGCCATCGCTGTAATCTTTGCACTATATACTTATATGTACATAGGTTTTTAATAAAATGTGACTCTCTAAATAGCAAAGTAATCGTATACATAATACTGCATATTGTTCATATACAATGTGTTGATTTAAGGGAACCGATCTTTTATTGCATTGGGACACAGATCATGATCTTCCGGAATATGGATTATTCCCCACTGGAATGTCATAGCATGAATATGCTCATTACTTCATTACTTTCGAATATAAGGGACTTACGGAAAGTGGTTTCAAAACCTTTAAGCAAGTAATGAAGTGACATGTTCAAGTTTCCTGAACAGAATTAATATGGTCATAGGGATCTGGAGATTCTCGAGAGACTTAGTGCGCGCTGGTGAACTTTCAGTGTCTTTATCCGGTGTCTCTATATTTTGTGCCTCATTTAGTCTCGGGAACAGTACATCTCCAGGCGTGGTTTCTTCAACCCTATATCAAGGTTCGAAGTCAGTCCTTGTTTGTGTAAATTCTATTGGTGGAATACAACAGGAGTTCTGAACAACTGGAACTGTTGTGTGGTTGAAGACTGCACTGAATTCAGTGCAGTATGTTTTTTCTATAGGTTGGAAGGATGGAAAGTAGTAATGTAGTATGTTTTTTTGCATATAATTTTGTTGGAAAGCTTACAAGGAAAGAAGTTCTTAAGAATTATGATGATGGAGGTAAGACTAGATTGAGAAAATGAAGCGCTATCTATTTAAAAAAAATTTTGGATGATTTTACTAAGAATCTGTTCAGCAGGTGCAATAATATTTCCTGCATCTGATTTTATTCAGCGTTCTAGGATGGAAAAATTAGTGGCATCGTTTGTAAATGTTATTGTGCAAACGAGATACTGACGTTTTATATTATACTCGAATGTGCTTAGAAATCTGAGCAAGTAGAGAATATTTACATCGTAGCTTATTCGGTTTAAACACGGATTTTGTCAGAAAGTGTTGCAAAGCAAGTCAACCTGTCCGTTCCAAAATGGGTCATCACTGCTTTCATCTTCACCTCCTGAGTCCTTATTGTCGTATGCTTCTGAAAGATCATCTTACGGTAAGTACTGATATTGGGCATTCCACTGTGTTATATCATTATTTCAACGAAAACATTACAACAAGGAGCTTTCCTGTTTCATTACTCCTTTTTTTTAACGAAAGAAATCCCACATTTCTAATCTAGTTTATTCTTAAAGTTGAGAACAGATAGTTAATACCTGGAAAAATGAGACATGGAGGGAATCTGTCTTGATCATTACGCACACAAAATTCGGTGAGAATTTTTTCCATACGTTGCAGCACCAAATAAATAAATACATATTGTCCTGGAAGTTGTACGGCTCCAAATCTGGAATTTCAAGTGAAAGCTGGCGCTTTGATACATAAATTAAGGTTAACAAAGAAATGACTGCGTGGTTTAATAGGTAGTCTTTTCAAATGGTTTTCTAACTAAATTTGCTGAGTTTTGTAAAGGACTTCAACATAGTATCTAATAGCTTGTTATGTTAAGTTTTTAACTCTACAAACCTTTGCATACGCAATCTAGATACAATGGAAAATATATCAATATTTTCGGGTGTTTTGCAAAGCTGTTCTACTCCCATCGCTATCGAGATGAATGTACAGGTTCGGCCAATTCCAGCACTACAAATATCAAATACTGTTATTCATTAATAGTGTAATTAATTAGTACTTGATTACTTACGAGAAAAGGACTATTACTACTGAGTCTTGTTTTTGCTACGTGTTCAGACACCTGCAGTGGACAATGACGGGTGCAGTTTGAGAAAACAATCTCTGATACTCAGTTCTGTAACTTTCCATAGCAACGATGACCTTAAGAAGTTGGTTGATGTGTTGTACAGGCAAACAGTGATCTAGCCATTCCGTAAACCAAATGTGTCTGGTATGGTGTTCCAAGCCATTACACTATAAATTGTTAACTAAAATTAATAAATAAATTATGGTAAATACTAAATCTGTAATGAAACCCACGAAGATTAAAAAATTGCATCACTAATAAACAGATAAGAAAGAATAACCAAATAAGAGTTCATATTCAAATTTTTACTATTATGAATATTCTACAGAAATGAATCAGGAAATTAGTTTTTTTGTGATGAAAAGTTAAGCATACATTTAAAACAATGTGGCGGATTTGTACACCACCATGAAAGCTTGTAGATAAAACAGTAACACCTATATTACCATAAGAAGCGTGACTCTCTGGCCAGTATTTTTCGCATTTTTTCTGCAATATGACTCAAAGATTATTTTAGCAAAACGAAATTCAAATTAAACAGTCACTAAGGAACAAAAAGTGCAGTAAACTGAAAGTGTAGTAAAAAAAAGGAAGCGATTACTAATTGGGTCTGTTTTTCTAAATATGTCAAGCTATGAAAATTATTTTGAGTAATCTTAGCCAATTAGTTTGAAATTCATACAGTCACTTATTGGAGTACGAAATTCACTAGCTTATATTACCAATTCTTACAAAGAACAGACCTGTGCTGGCTTTGTTTCAGATGGCTTTTCTTCTAGATTTGTAACCATGATAATGGCTGGTGTACGTTCTTGGAAAACCATTAACCAAAATTCATTCACCGTATTTGACATCGGACCTTCTGCTGCGATATATGTCAATTTTGAGCTAGAATCCTGCAAAAATCAATCATATTATTAATCCAACAAGAACTATAAACAGAATGCTGAATTCTGAATTATTAGAAATATTTGTACTTTCTTTGAATTCTTTCGAATTATAATGGAAAATGAAGATTCTGTAGAGAGTATCATAAATAAGCGAAATATGAAATTTTTTTTATTTCTAAGAGATCTCATTTTTGTCAGAATTGAAATTTTGCTTTGTAAACAACTGTGACCCATGATATTGGCAACCGAAAATAATATTGGGCATCTCAACGCTTTTAACTGAAGAATAGTTCGTGCTTAGTAATCATCACAAAAATTCACAGCTAACCATAATATAGTTGGCATTGATATAACTATTATAAACATCTTCATCTGTAGAACCACAAAGTGCTTTGTATGTAGATGATAATTTAACACGGGTTTCGCGGATAGGCCATAAGGTATGCCGATTCTTCAGACTGCAACCTGCCACCTTTTCGCAAGAAGAAGAACTTGGGCTTGGTAAAACCTGAAAAAAATATATCCAATCACTACTCTTCTTTTTGAGTAATTTTTTCATAACTCTTTCCTATAATATGCAAAAAGTATTTAAGAAGCTAACATTTTAACTCACAGCAAATTCAGCATAAATTGCCGATAAAGATGCCATTACATCAAGGTGACGCAACTGATAACGAGTTAAAAGACCTGTTTTATTACTCAACTGTGTTTCTTCAACCGCGGTACTAAAATTTGATTCGATGAAGGACAAATTTTGACACTTTAAAGGCTTGTTACATAAAATGCTATACATAGAAAGTGAATGAAGCACTTTTCGTTAATTGGTATCATCAGTCCGTGCACAAATGTACATCCAAAAATTAATTTTGTGAATTAATTTTGTCAGTCAACATGAATAATATACTAAGATTAGGAAAAGAAATTTTTCCAATTCTGCTTGTCAAACGGTTAAAATTATACTTTAAAAGAAAAGAAAAACTTTTAATATTTTTGAAAACAAACTCTTCATGAACTGGAGATGGTTCTAGAGATCTACTTTCGGATTGCGCAAGATCTATTGTTAATGAAGCCAATGAACCACGCCTGAAATAGAAAGAACAGATTAATTTCTTAATGGTATATATATACGATGACTGTTTGCAAATATATAAAAAGTTAAGTATGAACAAAAATTAAAAAAATAGCCATGAAAATTCGCAATAAGTATTCAAACACGTTATAGAGGAGGTTATGAAGAAGGACCTACCTTTCAAGAAGCCTACGATTTCGCATTGAAACACATGAGGCTACCATTAGTATGCAGTTTTTTTTCAAAATCTATTTAATTTTATCTAAAATAGCAAAACTCTTTAAATTAAACCAAAAGACAAAAATTTCATTTTTCTACCTTGGAAATATTAGGTATCACAAAAAGCTTGCTAGAAATTAAATAAAACATAAATGTTATACTTTAACAAAATTTTCAGAAAAATCCAACACCATATCACATTAACATTTATTAATTTGTTATATTACCTTATTACTGCAATGCAGTGAAAAAAAGAAAAAAAAAACCAAAGCTTCTTTGAATATAAACCATTTCAACCAATCACAAGTTTTAATTTTTTTGCTAAATTAATCTTTTTAAATATAACTATATTTTAGTACACTAAAAGAAAATGATATCTATTACTTAATTACGAAAGACCACAAAAAATTAATTTTGTTTTGTATTTTCATGGAGACCGGAACATAACTGAAAAATCTAACTACATTACATTTCTTCAAGAATTCAAGTAGTAATCAGAATATCACAGACAACTTTTAAAGAAGGTTAATAGCTGCTGAATCTATAAAGATTAAAATCAAGAAAATAAATTGAATGAAAGTGGAACTGTAGTTATCGCCATTTCAGAAAAACATATCAGTATTTGAATAGAAAAAGAAATGGAGAGTAAATTATTTTGCACGACTTTTTTTGTAGAAAATAGTGTGATGAATTAAAATTTATAATTTAAACCACCTTATTTATACTGAATGTGCAAGTGCATTAGAGGCAATCAGAATATGAGTTTGAATATTTTTACGACAAGCTTGAAAAGAAGGTGAATTCATCGCACGTACAGTAAAGATCATATTTTGTATTCATCGCAATATTGTCAAGTATGTTTATGTGGTGCGAAAGATAAGACTGATGAAATGGATTAAAAGATATTTATTTTCATGGAATACTTCTGAGAATTTTAGCACCAAACAACTATCTTTCATCTGATCCAACTACTCAAAATTTTAATACATTGAACAAAAATGGCATCTTTTTCAATAAGAATACTACCAACTTACAGCATATTAACAATTACTGACTAGAAACAATGTGCCATAAAAGTGAAAATTTGAACAAATTATAAAATTTATACGATGAAAATTTTATCATTTGTTGGATCAGATTTTAAAAAAATAAATTAGCTAGCTTAAGAAATTATGATTAATTAGTGCAAATATTCTATGAACATTAAAAATTTGCGACAAAAAGCAACGCAGAAAAAAAGTAAAAAAAACAAAACATTTTAGACATTAAAATTGCTATAATCTAATCAGTGAATAAGTATTATTGAAAGTGTGCATTTATTGCAGTATAAAATACAATCATAAAAACTGAATCATTGCTTTTCTGATGTCAGGATGTATGCAGTATGTTTATATATCAAAAACTTTCATGCAGTAAAAAGATAACAATTTCCGTAGACGTCATTTCCGCCCCTGAACACTCACGAAAATTTGGTAGTTTCAAGAACAGGTTGACCGTCTATATATTTCTATGATTCTATAGTCAGATTAAAAAATACATGTGCATATGTACATACACATACACATACACAATATACCCAGTGGCAAATAATTTCATACTGAAACATGAAAGTAATGGTTGTAATGAATTGATATGCACACATCAATTCAAATAGTTCCCTTTCCTAACTACTCTTTCCGATAATGACATTTTTACTTCAGAGGGCGTCGCAAATACCTTTCAACATTTTGAAATCAAATTTTATCAAACTATACTACTAAAATAGAGATAGGAATGTTTAGTATTTATTTATTTAAAAAATAAATGATTTACATCATGTTCTTTACTTTTTATGTGAATGCTACAGTTAATACTGTTCTTGTAGTACTAGAGCGATAATACAAATAAAGTTCTCTAGGTTAAGCCAAAAATGATGTAAACTTTACTACAACATTAGCAATTGCAAGAATAGGTTAATTAATAGTTAACTGAACTGAACCCATAATCATATTCTTCACTGTTACTTAATGTTATTGAAAAGTAACAAAATATCTTTAAGAATTTTGCACACAATGAAAATGTTTATAATAAAAAATATGAAGTGAATTAATCTATATGCATGCATTACTTGGTGAATATAAATTAAAGAAGAAGGAACCACAACTAGTATTAATTTTATGTGTCCAATTATCTTTCTTTCTGCTTTTTGCACATTTTTATTCATTAAAATTAATTTCAGTAAAAGTTTTGTTAAAAACAATCTTATTTTTGCTAGTATCAAATTAATCTTTTTCAGGCTTTTAAAGGTAATTTTTTTGTTGTTAATTTTTATTCAATTTTTTTTTTGCTAAATTTTAAAATAAAAATAAAATGAATAGAGAGAAAAAATTTCGTCCATTTGTATGTTTTTTGTTTAGAATATATTGCGTATTAGCTTCACTTCCGGTTCGAGAAATTTGCTCTTGTTAAAATGATGAAAGGACGTCACACAATACCCAAAAAAACCGATCATGGGACCCCAACACTTTTCTTTGATTTCTTAAACAAAAAATTATTGAAAATTCATCGTTCTACTTTCAGCCACTGGCAATATTATTATTCTTTAAAACAGTTCACTGAGATCATTTTGGAAGATAATGTTACTGAAATGATTTTGGTTACTTACAGAAATATAAGCTATTTACTTTATTTATTATAAAATTAGTTTTATTTTTTTCTTATTTTTTTAATAATATTATTCTTCAAATAAAAAAAATTCAGATATAAAATGTGATCCTTATTTCATTGCGCATCAATTACAATAAAATCATATCACTTTGTATTTCTCATCACTTGCTACATTCCATCATTAACTTACAAATAGTTGGTTTTTTATATCTCAACTAGTTAACAGACATGATACGATATGATATCTTGTGATAGCCTTTTAGATATTACAAGTAAGCTTTAAGTAAATAAGATTGCATGATCAAAAAAATTGTATTTGTAAGATTTGAAAAGTTCATTACTAGTTGCACAGACACTGAACAGAAGTTAACTGCTAGTTGTTTAGGTAAGATAGACATTCATCCGTACTGTAACCTTCTGTTACACTTTATCTATTTTTTCTTGTTTTTTTAACAATCATTTTTAATTTTTAACAGCAATATGAACTGAATTTTTGATCATATTATCATTTATGAAATATTTTTTCAATAATTAGCAGTTTTACAACTTTTACATTCATTCATCACATATCAGTCAAAAACTGCTAAGACAATTCAGAGTTATGGTAAATGCTGCTCTTACTATTCTATAAGTAAAAAAATGATTGTAATTACAGTTTTTGAATAGCAAAATACACACGTAAAATGAATACTTACTTTGCTGATACGTCAAAAACATTGTTAAGAGTACATATGAAACGGTACAAGGCAGAAGTGAAAAGTGTAAAATTTAAAATAAATCCTTAAATTTGAGCAGATATGCAAGCGAGAAATAAAAGTTAAAGTTAAACTGCTTATTAAACTCAAATACAAAATGAATGCCACTTCATTATCTTAAATACTAATCCCAAAAAAAAATGATATTGCAATTACTTCTCAAATTCAGGCAGGAAACAAATATATTAACAAAAAAATTCACCAAATACCAATGGCACTTTAATTGCTTTTTATTTCACGTGATAACAGCTTCTGTTTTGAGGTACTGCAATAATGAGTATGCAGTGAATGAATTAGTTCTATAGAAATTAAGAATATCATAGAACAGTTTAATTAGCTTTTGGTAATTTAAGTATTAATCTTGACACTCTCCTTGATCGCCACTTCCAAGTATTTATCTTTACAATTCAGTAATAAATTATGATTTTCTAATTTCATCAAAATTCAACCCCATATTTTCAAGTTTTAATTTTTTTCGTGTTTTTCTAATAGCATGCATGTTTTCCAGAGAATCAAACTTATTTCATAAAGTTAATTTGTAACGATCAATTTTCTTTTTTCAACTTTACCCTCACTATTAAAATGCGCTTCACATTTTGTACTTCTAGCATAAAACTTTTAAAGAAATCAGCGACGAATATTCTGCGACATCTTTTTCCTACCTTACAAAAAGTACAATTTCCATTTTAATCCATCTGCATATTTCAGTTTTTCACCAATTTTTTTCATTTAACTTAATTATAAACATTTTCTGTGCAGCTCAAGCAAGAAACACTTGTAATGCTAGAATAAATAATTAATAAGTGTGAAGTTATTTTATAATAAACAAAATATCAAACTAGTGCCAAATTTGATTACTTTAGCGAAAGTTATTTTTTTGATGGTAATTTAAACAATAGTACTTCTTTATTACAATTCATACTTATGATACATGGTAACTGCTATTTATTTATAAACAAGTCATTCCCATGATCTAAAAAAATGATTCTCAAAATATTTGATGAAATGTTTCCGTTTTGCTTATTAGAGCAAATTAGACAATAAAAAGTTATCAGACTATTTCAATTTTTTCAGGAAAGTATAGTTAATTATTAGTTTAAATAAAATAATATTTAACTGAAAATGCAAAACGTTCTACCTAACAAAGCATTAAAATATTCATTATGCTCACAAGAAATGATAATTTATTACATGAAAAGAACAAATAACAATGATACTGCGGTTGATTATGGAACAACTATAACGTTAGAACAATATAATTATTGAGCATCATTGATCTCCATTCAAATCCGTGGTAGATCTTAGATGACGAACTGCAGCAGTCTCAATCATTATTTATGTAATCACTTTCGAATAATGATAATAAGAAAATGGTTTGAGCATACTTGACTAATTCCTTGGGACTTGAAAATAATTGTCTAACGAGCACACTTCCACTTCTTGATGGGATAATTTCGTTATGGATGCTACAGTGGAACTATCAGAAAATACTTTGTTCACTATTTAACTTGATTACGTTCATTACGACAAACTGAAGTTGGGTACCAGCACTCTGCTGCCGTTACTTTTGCAAATGTTCTTAATGCTTGCACAAATAACCCTAAAAAGAAACTTATCTTGAACAAATAATAACCGTCTGCAGTATAGCTACAATTTAATTTTCGAATTAGATGTGCATCGCAATCACTTCGATCTGTATGTACTGATTCTAGATTTTTGCATTCACAATAGTTAGTCTAACAAAAAACATGCAACACAAAAATTAGTAATGACTCAAAAAATACTGGATCTGATTTACTTACTGTAAGTTGCCTTTATTTTCCCAATTTATTGCAAACACGTATTTTTAAAATTGTGATGTGAAGCAAGGTAAACATTTCTTTTATTAGGGCTTATATTCAATACTGTTAATTTGCTGAAATGATATTTTGTGTAATCGGAATTAGTTTCATCACGCTAGCATTTTCTACTTTTCCACTCCAAGAAGATAATTTTAGTGGCAAAAATAAAAAGATTTTGCCAACATTAAAAAAATTATTTGAGAACAGAAAAGAAAATACAATACAAGACAGAACTATTGAATCAATATATTGTACACATGAGAACATTCTCTTCCATTAGAAATGTCAATTGTCTCTGATTACAATGTGATTAAAAGATGAAAATTTAAGAAAACCAGTTCTGCACTTCCTGATGTCAGAAGTAGGTTTGGAGCACAGAAAAGGTAAAGATGGAAGAGTCTGACCATAGGATGAAGAAAATGGTTTAAGAAATCAAACAACGAATCAAAGAAGAATATAAGTTGGCAAGCAAAGCAGTGTTTATATGAGAAGAAAAGAGATTTAAACAATTATAATTTCCTGTTATATGATAAAAATAAATAAAAACCAAACAATCAACAACATTATCATACTAAAAAAGCACACTGAGGAATAAACTATGTTCGAATCAACTGCAATATGCAGTTAAATCTTGAAATAAACTCGTCAAACCAAGAATATTTCTAAACAAATTCCTACTTTCATATCATATTTGAAAACTTGCTAATAAAGAATGCCTATAGGTTTAAAGCATTACTTTAAATATTACATATTATAAAAGATTTCAAGAATTACTTCAGATATTGCATGTTATAAGTATGCTTTCATTATAAATTAATGAATTGAAGCAATTTCTGAACACATCGAACCAACGAATGACGTATTGGAAGCGAAACAGAAATGCGTTGTTGGTATGTTAGAACAATGTTAACCAGGACTGAAAATAATAGCATTTACAGAAAACAGATATCTGAGAGATTTATATAGCTTTAAACATTAGCCTTTTCAACAACTTCCAATGAATTCATTTCCCTGTATTAAAAAAAACGAACTCCAAATTGATCGCTAAAAAAACTGATAAAAATAACTGTGGATTTAAACTTGATTTTCCACTCTAGCCAATTCTTAGACAAGACTAACTTATAATATGAGGACACCATTAGAATCCACTCTCACCAAGTTGCCAATATTAAGATATAACTGGACGAAATAGAAAAAAAAAAAACCCTACAATTTACATGGAATAAACTACTTTCCACACTAATAGTTCTGCGACAGACTACCAATTAAGCAAAGAACTGATCATGATTATTTTATACGTTGTAAAGAAAAAGAAGTGATGCAATATATTACAAACTATTTACAAACTGCAATGTGAGTATGGTGAAATCCATGACGAAATCACGATTGATCGGACCAGTTACAAGTAGTAAAGAGAGGAAAATTTGCAGTCGTATTCGCTTTTGGAGAATTTGGTGTTTGAACAGGAAGCAAAAAGTCATGTTGATCATAATAATTTCTGTATATCTGTGGTTCTGATACTGAACGTTTCAACCTCGGAAGACCAGCCGAAGCTCGCTCAAGATAAATCAGTACCTAAACTGTATTGATTTTTAAAGAGTCTTATATAAATTAGGAATGGAAAACGAGTAAAAAAGGGGTCTATTGACCTGTTCGAATTCCGGACGCTCATCACGTGAAAACTTGATGCATCTTTCAAGTAAATTAAGCAAGCCCTTAGGTGTATCTTGTCGCACTTTGGCCAAATTAGGCTTCAAATAACCTCGCCCAACCATGAACAATATCTAAGTTTTTTCAAACAAGAATTATAATTTTATCTCACAATATTGCAGATAAAGATTTACTCTACCTTTATTAAATTACTATATTGATGAACAAACCTGGTCCCTACTATTGACATGTGAATATGGCAAAACACCTGACAGCAGCTCAAATAAACAGATACCAAATGAATATACATCAGAAAAAGTTGTGTATGGATTTGCATCTTGCATTCGTATCACTTCTGGAGCCTGCATACATTCATCTTAACAAAAACAGACAGATGTATATTATGTTAGCAAATAAACCAATTAATTCAATGTCTACAAATAAAAAAGAGAACAAACCATACCATCCAGAGAATACTCCCAGTTGGTTGCTGATTTTGTTGCCCACCGCTCCATCGTGTTTTAACTGTGGCCAAACCAAAATCTCCAATTTTAACTGTCCCATCATCAGTTAAAAAAATATTATTCGTTTTTAAGTCTCTAAAATCAAGAAACCTAGACTGCCGTGGATAAAAATATGATTTTAACTACTATTGGAAAAGTGATACTAATAAAATGAATTACATCAAAAATCTGAATTAATGCTTTTAAGGGAATAGTTATATTTGAAAGGATGATTGACTGTTCCATGCCAAAAATTATGAAATGGTGAACTATTAGAATTAAACACAAGCTGCTAAATGAATAAAGTGAAAATACTGGCTTATTCAAATGATTTAAATTGTCGAATCAACTTTAGAAGAAAAAATTAAACAAATACTGATTTTTTTTTAATTCTAGAGATAAAAGGGAAATTTCGGAACAATGTTCCATTATTCTGTTTCCAAAAATCCCAGAAATACTAAGTGGTACCAAGGAGGACTTACAGGATGTAAATGAGGTAGGACATAATGACCAATAGTAGTAAAACAGAAGTGAATAAAAAGTGGACCTATGAATAATGTGGCGAGAGTGTAGATAATTCATTCCCTGAGCGATTTGTTTGCAAATATCAATTATTGATGATATTTCAAAATCTACTTGAGGTTCGTTAACGTGTATTTGTCTATATAAAGATGACCCTTCACACCACTGAAATTATATTATTATCGAAAACAAAAAATTAACTGCAGAAAGACAAAAAGTGCAGCAAATAGGCACCTGGGTTACAATTGCAAGATCAGGTTCACGCATCCAACCCATGAAAAGCAAAACATTTGCATGCCTAGTTTTTTTTAACACACCAACTTCATTTTTGAACGCTTGAAGTTGAGCAGGACTTGGTTCGCGAACATTGAGCTTTTTGATTGCTACTTTTCCTAAAATTTTTTAAATAAAAAAAATAGTACTGGACCTTGTGATGCTTCCTATAATAACCAATGGTTGCACTAAAAACAATAACACAATTTCACAAATTCGTCAACTGAATTTATTCAACGCATCATAATAAGGCACTTCAATAGTACAAAATCTAATCATACGGATTACCAAACACATAAAAATTTTGGGAAAACATACCAAAATAGCTGCCTAAATATACTGTACCAAACGAACCACTACCAATTTTCTTATGATATGCTACTAAAGAACGATCGATTTCCCATCCTTCCATCAAAATTCGCTGCTTTAATTTTTCTTTACCCTCTCCCTGAAAAAACATAACGACTTTCAAGAATGATACATATATGAACCAAAATGCTATTGCAAAAAAAAAACTAGCTCACTTCATTAGTTTCACCAAGTCGATCAGAAGAAATAGAAGATCGACCACTTGGCCCTTTGATCGGGATTTTATCATTTGGGCCTAAATTATAATAGATAATCAAAATTTCGCTTCCACAATGAGATGTCAAGTCGATACCATGAATTTCTGACCTATAACGACTGATAACCCTGAATAAATACAATTATATTCAAACAAATATGAAAACTGTGAAAAAAAATAAGACAAGAACAAACTTTTGCTACGAAAACGGAAACCAAATGTTTTCTGAGGCGGTGCTGACTGAGGAGGAGTAGGAGGTAATCCTGACGTAGGATCGCATGTAGCTCCCGAATACGCTGGTGGTGGAGAAGAACTTGTTGAGGATGGTGAATTCGTGAAACTTGGTGATCCTATTCCGGCTAAAACTGAAGGATGCAAACGATTTGACCTTCGACTAGTAGTTACGTGCCAATCCCGCAGACCGGATAAATTAGTTGGTTTAACTGTTCTTGGCATTCCTAAAAAAATATAGCAAAGTCATATATGATAAAAATAATTCTCTTAGAAGAAGAAAATGCTCTTCACAAGCAAATATCAAAAACCAGATCAAAATACCTAGAAAAAAAATCATTTTGTTAACTGCTTAAGCTTTGCACCAATTACAACTAAAGCAAAGAAATACCTGAAGGGTGAACAAGCACTTGAATATTGCTGCTCAAAGCGTCTATTACTTTCTGAAATTGAATCAATTATAATCTTTATTGACGATTCTATTTCATGGAAAATTGCTTACAATTATCAAACATGCAATTATACCGTTTCACGCAATGTTTCATCTTTTGTTATCTCATAAATATTAGGAGCCGAAGACGAGCGATCACGCGATGATTCACTGATTCCTACTGAGACTTCAGGTCGACCTGGTAAACGAACAGCTTGTTGGCGCGATATACCAATACGATTGGGAATTGAGTCTGCATAAATAATCAACAGAAGATTTAGTTTCGATTAGTAAAAAAGAAGTACTCGAAGACCTAATTAACTTTTACTGAAAAAATGTAACACAAAATTAACCTGCTGTTGGACTTTGAAAATGTTGAATGATTTCGGCAACCAGTGCTGCATTTGGTCCTTCATACTGGTCACATATATCCTTCAGCTTATTTGCCATATGCACATCGTGAGAAATCTGCTGCATACGATCGCAATAATTAGGAACTTTGGAGCCGCACTTCTGATGGAAAGTAAACTGGCACAATTCACATCGATATCCCTGAATTAAAAAAAATCAGCCTACTTAACACTATTTTTTACTACATATATGGATATTCAGTTTTGATTAAAACTCCTATGCAGAATTTTTGTGTTTCAGAAATGATTTTTGAGAAAAAGTGAATGGACAAAAAAAATATACAGATTTTCATTTGAACGTTTTTAGTGGTAGCTTCTTTGCTGAGTAGTTAAACCGTCAATTTCAGCACACAAACAAAAAGTTTCCAAACTCCCAGCATGTACACCACCGCATACTGAAACGTGAAGTGAAACTTTGGACCACCAATTTTTATCACTCTTCATTTAGCGATGCATACCGTTAGTGGTGCAGAAATTTTCCACGTTAGAAATTTTACTGTGAGTAAATTTGCACAAGTACAACTGGAAAACACATTAGAATGAAATGCGTTGAAACTGATCATTGAAATGAGACATATATAGGACACAGAAACTAACCTGTAACCAAATTTGTTTATGGCAAACATCACAAAATGCCACTGATAAGAAAGTCTTTCGTACAAAACTGTGTTTGATAGACACCAGTATAGAGAGGTATGCACTGTGTACCCAAAGCTCCTTTTTTTCCAATGTCTATAAAATTAATGTAAATTATCGATACTAAAATAATGCTGTCAAAAATATTTCAATATAACCTAAAAGATCGAGAAATTCAAAAACAGAACCTTACATTAGATAATGTTTCTAAATCCATGCTAAGATCGATACGTGGACTAGAGGGATCACTACCAACACAGACTCTGCACATCTGAGGCAGTATTGCTCTTTTCTCCAGGATTTTACCAATAGCATCTCGTGCTAGAATGCCAGACTTCACTTCCAACTGAAAAATAATGACTGAAATGACAGTTCTGAAGATAATTTGGTGTGAATTCAAAGAAATGAATAACAAACTTTCGAATGCTGATTGAAAGGAAGATGTAGCAGAATTAATGAATCGCTCAGCCGTTTGGGAGAGGTACACGGAGAAGGGCTACCACCTCCTCGACTACTGCTATTATAGGCATTCTGCAAATAAAATCTAATATTTCAGTTCCGACACTAGCTGAAAAATGTCAAATTAAGTGAACATTCATAAAATCTATGCTAGTAATCAGTTTGATGAAAACATAATTTCGACTATGGGAAGCACTCAGAAAACATTGATGCTAACCGTTGATGAAGGACTTATGAGAGGTGACAAAGATTGTGAGACTGAATATCCAGAACAATCTTCCGTAACTTCTCCCAATAACGACATTACTATGAATTCATCTGAAATCCACAGTAGTATGATGATTTTTTAATAACTGAACAGCAAATTCAGTACATTAATGCAGGCTGCAGACGCGCAGAAACAAACATTTACAAAATGACATTAGTAAATACGAGCTTTTTAATACTCTATATTGAGCTTCTAACTGAATTTTGTCATCTACTAATATACGCTATGATACGACACATCATGATGCATTTTTTTAAAAAATCACATCACATTACTGTATCACAAAGTTGACATTAATGCAATTATATAGTTTTCCAAATTTGACATTCATCATATTACAATTCCATGTCTTTATAGGATCTCATCTTAATTACAGAAATTTAAGATAGATAAGATCAATCGTGATTATGATTGCAGTGTTAAAAGAAAAACAAACAATTCGAATTACTAAACTATCGATCAATAGCCCCTATAAAGTACGAGCCAATTTATTCCATGAACAAGGCTGCTTTTATTCTTTTAGAAAGCACACTTCACACAAATAAGTTCTTAAACAAGTAGTCCCATCGCATGAGAGCTTACAGCTGCCCAAAAAACTAAGCATTCAGAAACAGTACATTATTAGTAGTAATTACGACTAGTTACACTAATCTCATCAAAAGTTGCTATGCTAACTCAATTCAATCCGAAACAAATTACACAAAAAGAATTCTTATCAGTAATTAGCAGCCAAAATAATTTATCATTTATTTTTATGAATAGAATTTACAGCTGCAAAAGACTCCCTCACTTGCAAAATACTTACTTCCAACGAGTACAACAACATTGTCTGCTTAAGCAATAAATGACTGACCACTGAAAATGGAAGAAACAGAGTGGAGGACACTTACAGATATGGCACAAGTCTGCGCTACATTCATTTCATATAATGGAAGAAAAGATTGATATTGGATGCGTTATATGCTGGCCACGGCTTTTAACTGGGTGAAATCAAACTTCTTAGTAAAAAGACTGGAAGGTAGATTCTTAGCAGCAAGTGCCAAGTGTGGCGTAAACAAGTAGATGCGTATTACTGCTAAAAAGTTACACCAAGAAAGCTGCCAATGTGGCTAGTTTTATTTCTGCAACATATAACAAAACAGAACTATGTAGAGAACAATGTACTACTACATAATACATAATACATACGCACGTATACACACATACACAAATACACTCATACACCACATTATTGACTTTGAGAATTTTGAAACAGGCAGGTTTCACATTGTTGATTTAACTCACTATATGATTGATTTTAAAAGACGAAGTGGGACAGAAAAGTGGAACGTTCACATTCTTACATGGCTAGAAGTAAGAAGAGTCCTCTCTGAAGTTTAATCTTCATTCTATAGCAAACTCAATACAGATTTGAGTAATTAGAATGCAAGATAATTTTTGCATCAGTCCGCTTCATTTACTGAGACTGACTTTTGGACTAATCAGTCTCAGTAAATATTTAAGATCTTCACCGGTGAAAGTACACAGATAAATAAGACTAACTTTAAACAACTTTGCAGATTATAGGTATAATTCCAGTGTAAAGTTAAGGCTTTGAAGTAAGACCTAACTAAGGGATTAAACGCGCTTTTAAAGCTATTATATTATGAACATAAGGATGAAAAATCGTATTGTATGAGAGTCCACTAGTGAGTCTCACACAAGTGACCAGTAAAGCACTAGGGACTTTGATTATAACAAGCTTTACAACTGGTAATACTTGACATACAGTAAAAATATCAATAAAAATAAAAAATATTGTTGCTATAATTAAATCATAATGCTTTTAAAGGAGGTGATGATGAATTAATGATTTCTGACTGGGTTTTCAGCGAATCACAGAGGTAATGTGGTCTTACATCAGAATCGAAAACTGGAGATTTTGATTTGAGATCAAGTTTTGTCAAGCTGCTGCAAAAACTTCCAGTTACAAAATATAAGATAAACACATGAGCTAGTGGACTGACTTTATGATAACTGTATTTCATGACATTATGTCAGCAACTTAACACGAACATCAACATCTCGAAATTAATGAACTCTACGTGCTTTAAGAACAACTCGAAAACCACACTCAGTATAAACTTGCTGTATATTCTTTTTTTTCTGCTGAACTTAATTGAATTCATTAGTTTACAGTGTTTATGAGCATAACATGGAACTGATTTCCTTGTGCTGATTACTTGAAAGAACACTAAAACTAAATTACCTGCTAGAAGAAATGCTGTCATGTTCACATTTCGAAACGCTCGTGCAAATCATACCAGCCTCAGCATGAGATTCAGAACTGTTCAATGAATCACCATTGGTCGAACAAATATCTGTAGTATACTGTGAAAAGAATTGCGCATAAATAAAATAAAATAAAATAATGTAAAAGTATCTAAAAAAACAAATCTATGAGTTTACTTGCAAAGGTCTGCATTTCAGAAGTAGAGATGCACTTCTTCATATCTTCCGAAAAATAGCGCGCAAGGCGGCGAAAATACCTTTAAAAAAAATTACAATTCAGATACAACTTTTACTGAAATGAGTAATAAATAAAACAATTCATTAATCACAATTATAAACAACAGGAAGCAGAGACTTTTGTTGCTGATGAAGTATTAATTTGGTTGGAACTGGGTTTCGTTTCAATTCTCCATCCCATTGCAGATCAACAAGTCCACCACGCATAGCTATTTCCTTCTTTACTCGATTCGCAAAACCAATTGCATTTTCATTGGGCTGAAAATCATTGGTGGATTTTGAAAAAAAATAATAATTTAACGAAACTTCTGTTAACCTAATTTACGCCTCAAGTTTACTTACAATAATCAACATACAAACACAAATAATTCTGCGCGAAAAGACTGAAAAAAATAGATAACTTTAGAGCAAACTATTCTGGAATTAATCAAATAATTTTTTTAATGACAACTTCATAGAATTTTATGGCCATTTATATTAAACATATATTCTGCAAAAAATTTACAGATTTCTTCATTGGTTCTAAATACCAAACATCGCATATAATAGCCCATGAAGTTAACATCCGAAAACAGTTCTCGAACCAACCATGTTCACTGCTGTTCCAAAATGGATCACCAAAACGAGAATCGTATTTCATGGCAATAGGATAGATAGTAGTTGCAATCTTAAACAGACAATTTAGAACATAAAAGTAGTATCTACACTGCATTAATTCCCAGTATAATAACTGACTCAAATAGCATACCTCGAATGACCCTTTTTTAAACATCATTACTGATGTATTATTGATGCATGTTCCTTCAGGAAAAATCAAAATTGGAAGCAAATTTTCATTGTCAACATGCTCTTTTAATCTGAAATATATCTAATGAAGTGAATAGATAAAAATATCTCAAGAAGAAAGAAAAACAAAAGTATAAAATTTTTGACAATCTCTTCCATGAATAATCATTGCAAAAATAATAACTACAGCAAAATACTTCGTTTAAACTAGCACTAATAAAAACCTGTTTGTGAGTTTCCAGTTTAATTTTTTTAAAACACCAATTTTTTGATAGGAGCCAGGCCAACACAATGTTATAATAAATTAAAATTAGCTTGCCTTTCTGCAACATAAGAACGGTCACGAATTTCACTTCGTTCGAACCATATATGAGAGCTTGCTCGACTAAGGGCACGTTGTAGAATTCCGAGAAAGCCACCATGACGCTGACCAACCAAATCATAAGCGCAATCCGTGTTAAGTATCATTACATCAATTGGTGAAGTATGATTTGCAACGCAAATTCCTCAAAAATCATTAGTTTTACAAGAGATGAGATTTGAGATTACAAAAACCTGATAACACAAAGAATTTCACCTCCATTCCGAGCACGATTTTCTCGGTTATTGAATGTTATAACAGCAGATACACAGCTAGATAAAATCTGATATCCACATAACAGACAGTGCTCATTTAGCCACCGTTTTTGTGGTCCTTCCGGCAATAAACCAATCACCGTTGTGCTAACGATCATGAAGCAAACACCAGTAAATAGCAAAACCAAGCGCATAGGTAAAAGAACTGTATATCGAAAAAGAAATCCCAAAGCCCAAATTACCGATAGTTTCCAACTGAAAAATAAATTATTAGCAAATGCATCGACTACAATCCAAAAGAAGACAGAAACATTAACTTGATAAACTGATTGAAAGATAAACTAGTTCGAGTAAGCATGTTCCACGATACGAGCTGCTCTGCTTCAAATCTACTAGTTACATCATCCTGTATGACCGCTTCAATGCCTGCCTGAAACTGTTCATGCAACGCTTATGATAAAAATACTAACAGATAGGCTCTATCTGAACATCTAAATCCGATCAAAATTTGGTTTATACTAGCACTAACAGAGTTTTTTCATCAAATAAATTACTTGTACAATATTTTAGCCAATTTATCAATAGTTAAGAAACCTTGACAAGATACATGCTGTCTCGTACGGCGACCCAACCCTCGATATTCGAAACTTGTCCATTTTCATCGTCAAAATGTATTGATGTTTCGCGAAATATGATTCCTACATGTAATCCTTTTTTTTCAGATTTCTGACAGTTTGAAATCAAAAAATCAACCATTTTGCTGGTAATTGAATGGTAACATACTTGGTCCAGAGTGTTTTTTCCTAAAGCTTTTCAACAATTTATCCCACAATAAATCATCTGTGGTAATAGTGGTTGTTTCCACTTCGAAATTTGAATTATCAATGTCGCTAATCCCATCAACCGATAAGCGTAAGTTTGGTGAGCTATCATTTTTCTTTTTGGCTGATAAGCATATTTGTCGAGCACTCCACTACAATAAAATACATTTTGATCTTGTATCCCTCTATTAACAACGAAATGATTTTATGGTAGTGACTGGTAAAATGTCAAAAAAATATAACCTCAAAAATTTTCAGCAAGCAAGAGACATAATGTTGATTAAAACCTGCAGACTGACCCAATACTGACAAGACTACAACCATTAACACCATGAAGAGAACCGGAGGAAAAAATAAAGCACAAAATAAGATGAAGATGTGTTCAGCTGTCAAATCTGTCATATCGTAAATTTTTTCTGAAATTTACAAAAATTCCACTACACAGATTTTAAGTAACAAAGATTAGTCCTACCAATAAAAGTTTTTCCTTTTACATGTAGTGAGATTAAAATGGTAATTGGCTAAGAATACCAACCGTACAGTAAGTAGTTAAAGTAAATATACGAAACAATACACATTACAAAATAAGCTAATGAAAATATGCAAATAACAACTGCAGCACCTTACACACTTTTACTTAATCGTTTCACAAAATGAATGCAATACAAGCAAACATTTGAAATATATACAAGGACAAAACGTAAGGACTATACAAAGCAAAAAAATTGAGAGTAATGAAGCCAGCTATAGCTTTCACTTCAGAAAAGTTGGGCAAGCTTATTTCTGTTTTTTGAAATTCTGGAAAGTCCGATAGTCTATTTGTTCTGCTTCAGATATTATATCTACAGAAACTACATTAATACATAAAAAGTTAAATCCTGTCCAAATATCGAAGCAAATTATTATTCAAAAACATTTCCGTTTAAACCAACACTAAACACTCCAACTAAGCACTTCGAATTACCTGTGGTCTCAGACACTTTTTATCTATTAATATTAATAAGAATAATATTTAGAATCCAGTACTCTGCAAGCTAATATTGCACATTTCTATTTATATTCAACATAATTAAGGCATATGGTTGATGCCACTCCACACATTCTACCGATACCTGTTAACGAGCAAAACGCAATTCTGCGCTTCTTTGCAGTGACATCTGTTCTTAACAACAACCGATTGCATACATTTTCTGTTGCATTTTCCAACTTAATTCCGGTTTTTAGGATAACACAATGATATAGTACAAGATAACTAACACTTTCATTTATCCTACTAGAGAAAAAATAGAGACCACTGAAAAGTTGTAAGTCATTTCTTGTGAAGTAAAACTCCATAATCATTTACTGAATAGTACCAAACAAGAAAAACTCTGTTTATGATTTCAGGATGATTGTAACTGATACACATTCAAAACCTTAATGAACAAAAAACACAATAGTGAGGCGACTTTAAAAATTTGCGCTTTAAGAAGATGTGAACCGTTTTAATGACACGAATACAAGGAATAACTTTTGTTTCATCCTCTTAAATGATAGAGTACAGTAGAAAAAAGTATTTATAAAAATGATAAAGCACTTAAGCATTTTAAATTCAATAATGGTGTACACCAAACAAAAAAACAATATAATTTGGCCATTGCTAAATGATTATGAATAGTTAATTATGGCCAAATAAGCTTTTGCCATTGAATAACAAGTACAAGTTGATTAGAGCAATAATAAAGTACATAGCAAAAAAGACGTAAGCTGACATATAATCAACACATTCGAACAATGATTTCATATAATAAGTAACAAAAAGCCTATAACAAGGAACTTAACAATTTGATTTACACAAACATCATACTGACCCATGTAGGAAACTACATACAGCTAAGTGATTAAATAAGGCCAAAATTAGATAAAATCAATTAAGATCCTAAAACACGGAAAACAATGCCCATTTCTCATAACAGAAACTTAACCACAGAACTAACCAACAAGAGGCAGGAAACTATGTTTACCATAATGATTAGAACTAACAAATTTTTGCATAATTTTTAAAACACAATGTAATGTCCATTACAAGTCATGAAGCTTTCCATTACTTACTTCCTCAGAAGTAGAACTTTGCAATATTCTTATTGAGAATATGAAATTTTCATTTAGCCCAGAAGTAAAGCTTAGTGAAGAAATTAATATGTGGACTGCACATGTAACGTTAAGACACACGTGCACGTCAGATTATTTCTTATTACGTAATTTTTTAGCTATTTTGTAAGAATACAGCCAGAAATTGACTAATAGAATACTTGAAAAGAAAGCATAAAGATTTGAATAATCAGAAATAATTAACACAGCAATCCCAACTTGAAACGGAAATAAAATGGGAGATTTTAATTCAAGAAAAAATTATTAGGCAAGACATTGGAGACCTTAGTACTTAGATATGGTTTGAAACTAAAAGCGAGATAAACTAACATACTTGAAAATGATCTTTTTGGACCGATAAATAAACAAAATTAAAAGCTCATCCTACTCTATGAAACCAAAAATGCTAAAAAAGTGATTTCGGAATGCTGATATGCTACAATTAAGCTTCAAAAATGAAAGGAAAATAAACAGGGTAAAGATTTTCTAATTTTTTTTTTTGATGCCAAGTCAATAAGTAACAAGAACAGCAATAATCATTTAAAACCCCATACCAGTAGGAAGCAGAGATAAGTAATGCTAAAGATGTCAAATACTTTAACAATTCTTGCAAAACAACAGTTAGTTCGTATAGGACAAGAAAATAAAACTTATGATTCATACTTCCGATTTCAAAATTTTAAGTCATTTATTCCGCAAATCAGATCTGTTCGATATCTTAATACCACTGTTCCGATGCTCTGAATTTTCTGCACGCATTCGCCTCCTTGTTTCTGTGACATCAACCAATTTGTCCAAACATCCAACGGCACCAAAGTAACCCTAAACTTGGTCAATTTCTAACAGGCAACAATTTGAGAAATAGAAACGTAGAAACAAACTAAGCTCCATTTCTTGAGATAAAAATATAACTCATACTTCATGTATCAAAAACAAAGCCTTCTTCGTCCCTCGTGACCAAAAATTCATAGCATTACTCAATAATCTTGCAGCAATTGGATTTACTCGTAAGAAATTGCCTGAAAGACTTTGGTTTAAATGTATTCGAGAACGTATTTAAATGCTTCCATAAACGACTTCAAGCTTTCAGAGCAATACTGACACAGATTCTGCTAAACTTTTTATCACGACAAGGAAAGCGCTCACACTTTTTAATTCAAAAAAAAAAAAAAAAATTTCACCAACGAAAACTATTCGGTCAATTCCACAAGTTTTTGCGCCATTAAATGCAATTGAACCGATGTTGTTTGTCGTCGTTACGAGAGCAGAATGTGCAAGATCTTCAATTCGTGCGTTATCTAGATCTTTTTTGCAGCAAACTTTACCAAAACTGCAACAAAATACCACAAAATCTGAGAAATGTGATTCTTTCCAAATCAGTGAGCTCACCTGGCAG